TTGGTGGCTGGCTCGCCCGTTCGCTCAGTTCTTCGGTCATTACATTTCAACTTGATCGAGTTGATCTGTCCGCTTTAGAAAATGACAAACACCGGCTGACACGAAAACAGTTACGGACTGAACCAAAGGAGATGGAAAAGTCAACATGGACTCGCTTAGTGGCCGGAATCAGAAAACGAGCTAAGCCAATCTATTGCTGTCTTTCATTTTCGTGATGGAGATCAGCCGGGCTTAACAATCATTTGCTCATTCTACAGCGATGATCCGTCCGCGGGTAACGGTGCACCAAACGAAGTTTCTCGCAGAATAACCCCGAGAGAGGAGCCGACTCCCTCTCGATCGGATATTTCGGATGAAACCCCCTCAATTTTGTTGGTTGGCGAAGAGGACCGATCCGAATTCCAAAGGTCACAACGTTTTCAGACTTGGACAGGTGCAATCAGCGGATCGGGCGTGTCTGCTTTGTCCTGCGTGAGGCAAGTCGGAAGGCGACGACGGCCGCACGAGCTTCTTCCCGCTCCTGCAGAATTGCCTCACATCGGATAAGGATTCCATCAAATCGTCTGGGACAACTCGAAGTGAACTTGAGCGACATTGACACGAGCATGATCGCAGATGCTAATCGGAAAGCGCATCATTAACAAAGGAGACGTTTTGCTCAAAGGAACGTCTCAAGGCCCTGAGCTAGCCGGATGCTCGTCATCGACGATGCCCTCTCGCTGCCTGCGTCGCAGTGAACCGGAATCCCGGTCCGCCACGTCACTGACCGGCGTACGCCGAGGCTCGAATCGGGAGGGATCCAGTCGTACTCGAACGGTCCCGAAGGGAAATACGCGTTGTGACGTCGGTGGCCGTCTGAGCGGCATTGAAACGTGCGGGGAACCACTCGATTGCCAAGGACGAAAGCTCAGCTTAGCTGTTGTCCCCGCGATTTATGGAACTGAAAAATCGAAGTTCGAATGAAGGACTTCGGCCATTGGGACGCATGGATCGAAAGTCGGGTTCAGAACACGGAGTCCGACGATGGAGGTTCGAGAAGCACTTTGTTCTCGGGCGAGTAGAAAAGGGTTTCGCGAATGAATGCTCTCGATTTATTGACGAAGGCTGAGTGAACTCCAAGATTCTAAGCGCAGTGCTGATCCATTACCAAGAGCAGACTGAGGTGGTCCCGGGCGCCCATCGGAAGACGAATCGTTTCACTGGTGATGGTGATAGAGACTGATGGCGGGCTGTACGTTGAGTCGGAGCGCTGTCGATCCTACCCGAGGGCTTCGGCATGTCCAGGCCCCAACGTGATGAAGCAGCATCGTTTTTCGGTTTGCCTCATGCCAATCCTCGGATAACGGTCACTCATCTGGAAACTCGTTGCATGACTTAGACTTGAGTTCGACGGTGCTAAGCGCCGTCGGCAGACGAAGAAACGCGAACGATGACCGAGAGCGTAGGAAAGTTCGGGAATTCGATGGCGGTGTTTCCCGACTCCAGAAGACTCGTCCTCATGCGCTCGTTCCCGAACCCGACTCCGAATTGGAAGCTCGAATCCACCCAAGTTCGACCGGTGCAAATCGATTCCGAGGGTGCCTAATGCGAATTTGTGAGCTGACAGAATCGGAGTGTTTCCCGATCTGCGGTTGTTGAACCCTGAGAGGGGCCCCGGTCGGCTGAGTGGTATCCATTTCAATTACGTGTCACCCTCGTCTTGTGGCTTCGAAGTCTCGCCTCCCTCCTCCGAAGAAGACAACGAACCAACCACAGCAGACACCGCCATTATCCGGAGAACGAGTGGAGACAGGAACTTGACCATCATTAGCTCCGACGCCAGAAACAGCTGATCGACACAAGGAATGGAATGGATACAGCTGGCCCACTCGCTCGCGCGATTCATGCTTCTTCCGCGCGATATTCTCTCGTTCAGCTAGCTTGGGAGGTGTCACACCAGATCTGATGCATTGAACCATAGTCCTTCAGACTTGGACCGAATCCCTGGTTCGATGCATTATTTATGAGTGCACATATTCACATATCTGAACTGAGTGTGCATACTCGCCACTCATCAGTCGAGGCCCATTCCACATCAGGCCGCTGGAAAACAACTTCTCGCTCGCTAACTGCTCCTCGAAGGTTTTGACATCGGGCATCCGAAGATAGATGGGAGAAAGGCACTTGGTAGCGACGAATTATTACGATGTGGCGCGCAGATTCCAGGCTCGGGCTGTGGCGTACCGTGGATCGGGGATGTATCTCGTAATTTCGCCAAAACTCCCATAAGCAACACCAGTTCGGGGATTGGCATAGAATGTCGGGGATTCGGGGGCATCGTGAACTTCCAGCTCCTCGAGCCTTTCCCGGAAAGGGTACGTGGATCCAGAAATAGTGAGGGTTGAAGAATCGGCGAGAAGATTTTTCATCCGATCTCCGATCTCAACCATGGAGGCTTTCACTTCGGAAAATCCAAGCGAGTGTCGATAGTTGTCGTGAGAAATAGCGCGGAAACAGCTCATCTTGGATTCTTCCAATGAGAAGACAACGCAATGACAACACCGACATGAAGAACTAAGGGAAGATATCGTCCGCCGGACGAACACTCGACAAAATGATCGGCAGCAAGAGGCAGAAGCATCTTCGGACTGAGATTCAGTACAAAAGTCTTGTTTCAAAATTCGAAGTGCGATGGGGTCACTAGTCGCCACTCATGACGTCAACATCGCTTCGGAAATCCGCCGGGAAATGGTGGGGATCGGGCGCCTTATGGTGCGGAAGACGGTAGTATCGGTCAGTCTCCTCAAGTAGTGAGACTTGGTCCCAGGTATCCCCATACGTCTCACCGACTCCGAAGGCGTTGACGATTTTCTCTGCTTTGCGATCGGCGGATCCGTATCGGAATTCGATGCAAAATACAGTCTGATTGATGCATTCCGTTAAGTTCATTTGGCTCATCATTGTGTGATACGCGCGAAACGCAGAGAAGTCCATCGATTTTCAAATGGTCCGATGCTCAACTCATGCGGAGTTGAACGTCATCTCCGGCGATGCGCTCTAGACCAGATGATCGTCGGTGTCCGGGAAAATTTCCTCCGGTCCATTCGCTAGGTTTGGGAAGACATTCCCGGCATTGGGAATTTCGAGACTATTCTGGTTCATCTAATCGACGAAGACGTTCCTCCTCGCAGACTCGTGGACTCGAATGGTGATCGTCCAATATTTAATCATTCGATGGGACTGCATACATCCGAAATATGCGGATCAGCATAATTTATTTCCAACCAATTCCGAGAAATCAATCATGAGTCAGTGACATCGCTGCATCGACGAGCATCGAATGGACTCCGGAGCGGGCGGATTTTCACAGCTACCGGTCCTGTCGCGCGGGCGATGAGGGAAAGTTCGCTGCATTTTACGGTCGCACTTTTACCGTTTTCCCTTTTGTTTATTCTCACTGTACGGGCGACACTTTCACTCATCATCGGATCCCTTTGTGTCGAGGGTCAAAACATTGTGCCCACTGAAGAAGCGCGCGCGGTGTCCGACAGCTAACCGAGTGTTTTCCCCCTGGGTGGCTGCTTGACTGACTGACTGACTGCCTGTCTGTCTGTCTAGCAATATCATCATTGTTTCCATCGTCGAGGCAAAGTGGACGCGACTCGACCTGCTCTTCCATGTTCATGTGATGTTCGTCTGTCTAAAAAAAGAAGTTTGATTCTCAACGAGCGACCCTGACTCGAGGGAGCCTACCCCCTGAACAATGATTAAACGGCGCCTACGAGGCGTCATTCACGGCGGAAGTTTGTGTGACCGCCGCCACCGTTGGCAGAGCTCACTTGTTACATAAAAACCCATTGCACGAAATCGGGATGGGTCTCAGTCGGTACTGTTGTCTCCCGTTCGCAGCCAAAAGCTTCTCGTAGTTTGTTCGATACAAGCCGAAGGATGGGAAACTGATTCGATCTAGACGCGTGATCCCATCAGGACGACGGAAGCCACGACACCTCCGGATCAGCAAACGAAGAAGGAGCAGGAGAAAAGAGATAACAAAAAAATATACCTACCTCTTCCATCCATTCGGCTCAAATGCCAAGAAGACTTTATGAAAGATCTGAAGTGCATTCCTTCTGATGTCGAAAACACTCTTTGAACTCCTATCTATCCGAAAAAGCAGCTCAAGTTGTAAAGCGTAAATCGGATTGACGCTCGATTCGTCTGCCCTCGGACGGGGCGCTTTTGATCAGCCTAATGTGCTTCATTTGGTGACGGACGCACGTCAAAATCACGCCCTTCCGAGTACGCGGCGCATAAATTTTCGTTCCTCTCCTTGACACTCCGAGAACGAAGAGTCGGATGCGAAGAAATAGACAGCCGTTCACGAAGTTTACGAGGGAAGATCGCCGACTCGACTACAGAGAAAATTGCATTTCTTTCCCACTAGTCGGTCGGCTCGATCAGTAAAACAGTGTTAGCTGCCCAACGGACTTCTGAGAATCTCTGACGTCGATGGCGGACAGAAGTCATTCGTATTTGTTTCGTCTCCGCGCACTCGAGAAATTCGCAAGTACTAATATCGATTTGACTGGCGGATGATGATGACGAATACTTATACTCGAATTCCCTGATTGGAACGGTCAATCCGAAATCCAGCAAGACTCCCCTCTCGCGTTTCAACTTCGGTGTTTGGAGCTGCTGAGCGAGCACCGAACGTCCGGCCGGTGCGCGGACCGGGCGGAAAGGAGGCACGCTTCGCGCTGGGGCTCTCTGGCTTCGGTTGGGGCTTCTTCGGTTTCCTCCTTATTCTTGTTCTGTACATCCCTCTCCGCTAGCTTCGAGCTAAGGGCTCTTCTTTCTTGTCTTGTCAATAAAGGCTCACACGTGCTACCCCGTAGGGACAGTCGATGTTGTCACCGTCGAGTTCCGCATCATTTACTTGTTGTACCTCCGTCCCGTAGTGCTGCCGCTCCTGCTCGTAGTCTGTTGTCGAGGGTGTCCAACGTTGTCCTCTCCGCGTTACGATGGCCCTCCGCGGCCAGACTGTGCTCGTTCTGTGTTCGATTGTTGTGCTTCTCGGAGTTCAATTAGTTCAGGGACAAAAGGATTCGGCGGTGAAGAGCCCTCAGATCCATGGGGGAGACTGGAAGCCAATTGTTACCGACCCGAAGACGGGCAAGAATATCACATTGAAGATGAGTGAAAAAGTCGTGCTCACCAAATCCAAGCCAAAAAACATGGAGCCACAGAAAATAAACCTGGACGTGAAATCGGATCGAGCCGGCAGACTTCTCATCGAGCCGGGCAACTCGAACGCGTTCTACGTCTACCTGCCCGCGCGCTTCCTCCACCCGGACACTTCGGACGCTCACGACGGTGGTAGTCACGGCGGTGGTTTCCGTGGCGGTAACCATCACCATCATCAAGATACATCGTTCAGGCGACCTAATGGCCACTTCGATCATGGTCCGTCGTTCGGGCCGCAGGGTCCATCTCCAGGTCCATCGGGGCCCTCGACTTTCGTGCCCTCCGACTCGGGCCGTCATCGGCCCAACTATCTGCCGGATCAGGGTTCCGATGTCCAGCCGGGTGGGGTCCGGATCTACAGTGGTTTCCATCCGGTGCACACACCACCTCAGAGTCAGAACTATCAGAGACCGCAACCGGCATATCAGCCTCCGCCCGGAGCCGAACCGACTCCCGTGTCCCAGTACACTTCGTCCGGAGGTCCCCAAATGTACATTCCTCAAGGGGAAATCCCTCGCCCAAACCCTCAGAGTTATCACGGACCCAGGGCGGAGAATGGGCCTCAGTATTCGGTCCCTCCCCAACAGCAGCAGCAGCAGCAGCAGCAGTATCGTCCTCAGCAGGGCCCTCAGCAGAGACCTCAACAATACAACTCAGCCCCTCCCCATAGCTCGTCAGCGCCGCAACCGTCGAAATTCCCCTCGGGAGGAGGATATGGAGTTCCGGATATCGATGACACCGAGGACGATGACCTGCCCGAACCGGGTTACGGAAGCGCTCCTCGAGCACCGAGTCCTCCGCCGACCGAACGCCCTGAGCCAGGCTACGGGAACAATCGCCGTCGACCCGGCCCCGACTACAGTCAGCCGCAGCAGCAGCAGCAGCAGCCGCCCTCTCAGCTCCCACCACCTCAGCAAGTTCCTCCCCAGCCAGCCCTCTATGTCCCGACCCCCCCACAGTTCCAAAGCCCCCCTCAAATCGAACGCGGTTACGGCGCTCCGCGACGTCCATCGTCTTACGGACAGGCCCCTCAGTCGTACCAAGGCCAACTTGCTCAGCCCCAATCCAAAGCCTTCGACCCGAGTCCAAGACCTGTCGGAATAGTTTCTGCTAGACCGCACAGCCCATCGAGCTATAGCCAACCGATACAGAGACCGCAGGAGCCGCCGAAATACAGCAAACCGATCCCTCTCGAACCGCCCGTCAAATCGGGCGGCGGTGGCGGTGGTTACGGACGTCCAGAGCCTTATGAGGACGACGACGTCCCTCAACGACCTCAAGTGCGACCAGTGACCGTGGCGCCGTCCCCTGAATTCTTCCCGGGTGAGTCCTAGATCCTTCCGGTTGCGCGAGATCACGCGACTGCTGGGAGCTCGTGATCCGAAGTCTTGACCTGAGCGTCTGGAATTCTGAGATATACGCTTGCTATAGGTACCGTCTCCCCGGCTCGCACTCCCACTGAAGACGAGAAAGCCGGTGTGGGAATCATCGAACCGAGAGGACTCCCAACTTGTGCTGCAACTCCAAGACCACAAACCCAGAGCCAGGGCTTGAGAGACATCGCGAGAGAACTCGGTGCCGATTACGTATTCACAGACTTCGGTGTTTCGGAGGCCGACATCTTCTCTTCGGCAGGAAACGAAGGTGAGTAGCGCGGCTCATCGCAATCCCGTCGCCGTTGAATATTTTTTTCCACTTCGGCATTACACCTAAGTCGGGGGCGGAGAAGCCGCGCATTTCGCCGTTCGGAGCAAAATTTAATTCATCGAGACGTGCAGCAAAAAGAGAGCGCCCAGACAGGGGCTCGAACCCTGGACCGTTAGGTTAAAAGCCTAACGCTCTACCGACTGAGCTATCTGGGCACGTCGCTCGAATGGAGTCAAGTACAGAATTGAACATTGCAAGACGGTCGTCAGGTGACGGTGGCCGTTTGGACATTTAGGCTTGGACCAACAAATCTTGAAGACGTGAGGAGAAGCCGTGTGTGGTAAAGCGGCCCCTCCGCTTCTCGGCCGACCAAGCGATCGAAAGGAATCCGCTTCACGCGATGAACACGACATCTACACCGCAGAGAGTTCGGGCTCACTCGCGACACAGCAAGCCGGCAGAAATTTCGCTCGAAATATCAGTCGACCGTTACAAAGCTGCGCCAATCGCTACAGAGAAAGTTTCAGAAACTCTCTGGGCCGAGCGAGGCTGAGGGTGACAGTCAGGGTGAACAGACAACTCTGAAACGCTGCCCTTGGACAAGTGCCAAGCGTCATTGAGTTCAAGTTTCAGGGACCGCCAGCGTTTTGAACGCAACGATTTCGACTGTAGGACAGGAACGCTAAGGAGGTTAGAAATTTCAGGCCAATTTACAGTCTTCCTGCCCGCGAACGAAGCCCGCTTGTTCACCAATCCTGAGCTTTTGGCTTCCTGGCGTCAGAATCGCGACGCTTTCATGTCCACCTTGGCCAATCACATCGTGACGGGGCAAATCACGCTGGATCAACTCAAACGCGGAGGATCCTTCGTTACGAAAACCAGCCAGAACGCTATCATCAACAGCCGAGGCCACGACGACGGGGTAAGTTCCACGTTCCGGTCCGCGACTTCTCCAGCATCTTAAGGATATGCGGAATAGGAGCGATGCTCGTTTTGTGTAGAGTTGTGTGGAACTCTCACGGATCTGATTAAGGGCCGACGGCGTCCGAGTCTCCCGACCGCTGCCCCGGGGCGGTACCTTCGGGGCATTGATGAGCGCTTGGCGCCAAAAGATTTGAAATGCGCTCGTAAACATCACGTTCCTGTCTTATTGGATTGTGACGGCGTTGGAAACAGTCGATCTGTTGGCAGCGGCGCTCAATCCGATTGACTCACGTCGAAATCGAGATGGGAGAGACTTTTGAGCAAAAGATGTGCACCATCCCTGGCGGGAGTCGAACCCGCGACCTTTGGATTAGAAGTCCAACGCGCTATCCACTGCGCTACAGGGACACATAGGCCTGACGCGCCGCTTCTGGGAGTGACTATATCGAGTACTGTTTCGAGTAAAATATGTAGAAGAATTAAACCACAGAAAGAGGAGAAGGTGGATTCACGCCCGATCTCAGACTGGGATTTGAATTCAGACTCCCTCGTAGCGCTTGCTGAGTAGGTTGCTAGGTTAATCGAATAGGCTCGACGAGGAACCTATGGCGAGGCGAACAAATCATGCATGGTCGGGTGTTGAAGGAAGTTCAGGCACTCGCTGTGATTGAGTGAGTAGGAGAATGAGTGAAAGTTCTCGACGAGCCCGCGGAAACCTTTGAGAATTTCTCAGCCATCGTCCGCATTTATGATCATCACAACACATTCGGATCGCTTGTAAGAGCGACGCAGCGGGGTCTTCCGTCTTCATGTCTGAAGTCGGTTTGCCTGTCACTTGTTATGTCAGTGATTTCTTCTTTTTCCGCCGCTTCCTTGATTTTCGTTAGAAGTGTGGTTCTCAAGTTGACAATGACGTAGACTACGATGAACTTTGACTCACGCGGGGAGAAATCGTCCAAGAATATATACAGACGATGATGGCGCGGAGGCGCCATGCCGTCCCCTTGAATATGGCCAATTGCCGGAAAGCTCCGCGTCGAATGCTTTTGTGTGGGTTTTTCTGAAGTTTTTCGGAGCTCCGCCCGTCGTATTCCGAACGCTTTCAAGACGGTGATTTTGATGAGTTTCATTCGGAGCGGAATCGTACCGGACCTTCCGATAAAATCACGCTCGACGCATCTTGTGAACAGACCTAGGCTCAAGGGGACGGAGGGAACCGTAAAAGAAAAGGTGCGCTCGGCAGAGTTTCGGATGTCGAAAGAGTCTCCGAGCCAAATTTGAAGCGTCGATTATAGACAGGAATGCTAACGGTCGGAGAGTCCGGCAGATCCTTCAAGATGCAAAAAGAAATCGAGGAGAAAAATGAGAGTCCAGTCGGTGGTCGAGCCAATGATAGCCCTTCTTCTGATCACGATTATACGTCTCACTTAGTTTATAGAAGGCCGCTGGCAGTTAGGGATGAGGCCCCTCTCAAGTTACGTAAGCCCTCAACCATCGCGAACCACCTTAATGTTCCTTAGCTAAAATACAAGGGGCCATCTCGCAAATGGCTCTGTGCTCTGTGACAGTTGGCCATAGAGGTCGATACGCTACCGAATTCTACTCTCTGGCGAGATCAGCGGGACAGAGCTCCAAAATTCGCTCTGTTGATCATTCCGATGGTCTCGAGCTCGAGATCAGGGCTCTCGGTGCCCGAAGCCGAGCAGGGGTCGATGAGCTTTCTCGCAAAAATTCAGTCTTCGCTAACTTCATTCCGCGATTACGCGAATGACACCTTTTCCACGAATCTTCGTGGCTACAGCTTCCGGAGAAGCATGCGGCGACTCTCAAACAACGTCGTGTCAGGGTCAGGGCAGCGCCGCCGCAGTAATTTCTCGAGAGGAAGAAAGGGTTGTGCCCTCTCAGACATTTCATAGCACCGAGCGAGTTCCAGCCTTGTTCGAGGCTTTGTCCCAAAACTAATCGGGATTGATTTTCCATGGAAGCGAGCGAATCGAAGGATGACGCCTTGGTGATCCAATATTCAGACTCTTGTCAGTCTGTCAGTCAGCCCTCCCGATGACCTATAGGCTCCGCCAAACAACATGTTGAGGGCGTCTGGTCAAGCGTACAATTGCGTTATTGGGTATTTTCGAACAATTCCGAAAAGTTGTTCAAGCCTGTACAAAAGAACGAATCGCGGATGCCCTATGCGACCTGGTGCGATGGGAGCAACACTTAGCTCGTCGCAGACGGGAAAAAAAGACAACCACAACAAAGCCCACAACGGCAACGCTCACTTTCGAGCGATGTGAGCATGGAAAATAGCACTGTCAACGATATGACAAGCTTTGATAAGTCCATATGACATGATTTAACTGACTTGTGCACGGACGAATGGAGGGACTGTCCGCCGACGGACGGCCCAACCGGACGAATTGTAGAACAGACAGTCCCACGACGTCTCCAATTCAGTATTAAAAGGATGACGTTCTTCCTTGCGTCAGAGGTCACGTCGTCGCGGTCACGCGGAAGCTCCCCTAATTTTCACCTCAGCGTCCCTTGTCAACGAAAACAGTTTGTTGTCCGTTGCTCGGCCGCCACTTCTACGGGCTTGGAATTCGGCAGTGGCGACTTCGGCTCTTTGAGCCTGGGGAGAAAGCGAAAACAAGAACCAGCAGACTCCTTCGCGGAAATCGAACATTCGTCTCTCAGCTCGAATTTTATCAATTGGTTTTTGGTGTTTCTCATGACATTAGGACTCGCGACTACACGCGGTTGCATTGAGGACCGTAAACGATGTAGCCCAAACGTGTCGGCTTTTTTTCAACTGCGTTTCTCTCCTCAGGTGATCACTGTCAACGGGCAGAGAGTCATTTACGGAGATATTCAGATCCCTAACGGAGGGCTCCTACACATCGTCGGCGGGTTCATCCATCCTATCGCCGATGAGGAAGTTATTCCCCTGGTGGAGAAATGCGACAAATACGACGGCTTCGACACGTTGGCCGCAGGCACGGGTTTCAGCCGGGAGCTCGCCGGAAACGCCGGAGGGTACACTCTCTTCCTGCCGAGCAACGATGCGCTGTCGAAAGTTCCGAAAGACGAGCTGGCAGTCATCCGAACCAACACGACGGCGCTCATCGAGTTCCTGAGATACCATGTGGCTCAGGGCATTCACTATAGCAACGACCTTCGAGATGGCCAATATCTCACATCTCTGCATAGAAACATGCCGCTCCGTGTCGGCGTCAACATCGACGGTTGTAGAAGTACGTTCACGACCGTTGCACGGAATTTTTCAATGAGGCTGCTGACACGTAATTCTCAGAAGTCGACCGCATTCTTCCTGCAGGAGAAAGTCAAAGCCGAATTCGGAATTAATTCAGAATTGTGTCTTCGCTTTCAGGGCGCCTCTACGAGGTGAATAATTCGCCGTTGTACCGAGCCGACATCCCCGCGTCGAATGGAGTGGTCCACGTCGTCGACTGGGTTCTTCTGCCCAGCGACCACAAATGGTGCAAGGACGTCATCCTCCCATGAGAAAATGGTTGAAGTATTTCAGAGCCAGACACAGCGGCGTCGGTGGTGATCTGACGATCTCTCGGAGTCAAGCGATTTGAGGATTCTAAGTTAAGAGTCGAACAATAGGAGGCTCGAATCGCGAGCCTATTGATCGATTCGGCGAGTGGTATTCATCATCCTGTAACTTATGTAGCAAAATAGTTGGAACCACCGAGTTTTAGTGAAACTAATGACACCCTCTGCTGATATTGTCTTTTGTGTGCGTCGATCATTCACTATACATTCCTCGTCCAGTAAATTTTTCAATTATTATCAACTGCACCTGTCAGTGGTTCCGTCGATTTGTAATTTGTCCGTCGCTGGTCCCCCCACATCGAGAGAAACTCGATGGACGAGTCTATTTTTTGCAAATCTACTGTGTGAGTCAGCGGACTGAGATTCGGTGTCCGATCCTGTAAGAGGTTGTCAGCGGACCTCCTTAGTTCAAGGGAAGAAATCCGACGCGACCAAAAGACAAGACTCTATTGTACATACTGTTTTCTTCGAATAATTTCCGTGCGCCAAACCATGGCACCACCATAGAGTATTCCGACGATAATCTCTACCTCCACTAATATCGCATCGGGAGAGCTAATCATTGCCGAGAGAGATCATGTCAAGCTTCCGGAAGCAAGAATTCGAGAGAAAAAGATTTCCTTCCGTAGACGGTGGATGCTAGTTTGTGACATTTTCGCGGGGTCGAAAATACATATTGAGAAATTATCCCGTAAATGAGTGCGGATCATTCCGTTGCGTTGTATCCCTCAGAGCTGACGAAAGAACGCGGACGAGCGAAATAAATATAGATGCTACTAATAAATTCTGGAAGTGGTCGTCAATCCTGTGAGGAGGGTGATAGAGGGATCCATCATGACTTATGAGAAGATGAGTATCTCAGAATTACCCTAAGACTATGCAAAGGATGGTGATTTCTCGATCTGAATGAACGTCGGAACTTCCACGCTAGCGCTCGCACCGAATGAGACCAATAAGTGACTATGTTCGGCATGAATGGGCGCATGGTACGGAGGTACGAAAATTTGGCCTAACATCTCGATCTCTGCTCAGCGAAAACATCACAAACCCCGTCTGCGAGACCTGAGGATCACGTGTGCCCTCGTGGCCCAACGGATAAGGCATCGGTCTCCTAAACCGGGGATTGCGGGTTCGAGTCCCGCCGAGGGTATATTTTTCTTCTATGGTCGAATATCATTTGGAGGATCCGAACCGAGTTTTCCAGTCCAATGAGACTACTTCCTTCAGGGAACGGATGCTACGAGCTACGAGTCGCGGAATTTGTTTAATTGAGTCACCGAGCCTGCTCTCCCGGGTCCTTGAATCTTGATGCTGACATCAACTCAAGGCTCGTGAGCTGAAAGTACCCAATCGGTTCAGTCGGTAGCAATGCGCCCCGGAACCTCCCAAGAGCTAGGAACGACGTCTCGAGCAGCAGTCGATGGACGGAAACATGAAGTCGAGTACAAACACCTCAAATGAGAAGGAGATGTGCCAATTTTTCTGAAGCTCCGATGAGATTTCGACACGGTCACGGCGAACAAGAGACGTGTGTGGGGCGCGGAGAAGTTTCGCCGCCGGTTTTCGGAGTTCGATCGTAAACATAAACACGCAGCTCTCACGAGTGGAACGAGCTCATTTCTACGATCAACGCAAATGGATCTCTGCGCTGCGATTCGGCGCAGCCGAAACTCGTTCCGGGCGAGCTCCTGAAGTGAATTCGATAACATTCGGGGGAGCTCCGTCAGCTGTCAATGGGCATGTGGTTGAGGAAGATCACCTGTGGTAGGATCGCCGATCTGATGGGTCCAGTGTTCTACCGCGGCCCTGTACTCTCGACGAGGCACTATGCTAATGTTGAACAGCAACGCTATTTGAGGTTGGACGATATCGGGGTATTCGACAACGAAGATCTCTCGAAAAGTGCCGCGCTCGTCGCTCCGTCGTCCTACCGCCGGCATATTCTGCTAGTTCAGCCTATCTATAAAAACGCCTTTGCCTCATCGAACTACAACTCGAAGACAACCCCAGAACTGCAATTGCAAGAGGCACAAGCTCTGGTCTCAACTATGGAAAGTCGGCTGAGAGTTTGTGAAACATTGTGCCTCTCCACGAAGTCGGAGAGAAAGAAACTTTTCTTCGGGAAAGGTATGTTCAGGTTTTTATCGCTCAGCGGTCCGCAGAAAACTCTGAAGGCAGACATTGCGACCACACGTACTCAGTCCTCGTCTCCTGACCGACAGGAAACTTCCGAAAGCTCCTGGAAAGGGTGGCCTATAACGAGCGGAAGCATGGAAACGTGACTGTCTTCCTCAACGTCAACACGCTGACGCCTTTCCAGCAATACGAACTGCGTCTAGCTCTGGGAGTTGACGTCTACGATAGGTGATTATTGAAACCTCGAGAACGGTCCTCGTGGTGAGACTTGTCCAGAATTGGCGTGTTCCGAGCCTCGAGACCGGCCCATCGGTCATCGCGTCGCAGATAAGCGTTTGAAATTAAGCGTTCGTTAAACCACATGATTCCTCCTTCCCCTTTAGGTATATGCTCGTGCTACAAATCTTCAAACACCACGCGAGAAGTAAGGAGGCGAAACTCCAGACTTCTCTGGCGGAGATTCCTTACTTCAGAGCGGCGATGGGATTCCATGGATCCGATCAGATGTTGGTTCAGCTGGGGCAGCGTGAGGTCGCGCTGAGACAAGAGCTCGAGAATCTCAAGGAGCACCGAGCTCTCCTGCGGCAGGAGAGACGTAGAATGGAAGTACCGGTGAGGGCTCTCCCGATGATGATCGAATGCAGGCATATACATATATACGGAGGCAGATAAATATGACGGAAAGCCTGCGCCGAGTCCTCATTTTGTTGTTTCTTCCTTTCTTCCCCTTCACCGTCCCCCAGGTCGCGGCTGTGGTGGGCTACACGAATGCAGGGAAAACATCGCTCATCAAGAAACTGACGGATTCCCGGACGTTGCAGCCGAAAGATCAGCTTTTCGCAACTTTGGATGTGACTTGTCATCCGTCTCGTCTACCCAAGCTGGGCAAAGTACTATACGTGGATACCGTAGGTTTCATCAGCGATATCCCCACTCAGCTGATCGGTAGCTTCAGAGCGACACTGGAGGACGCCTTGCTGTCCGATTGTATCATCCATATCTACGACTTGAGTCACCCCGACCTCGAGAATCAATGCGAGATCGTCATGAAAACGCTCGAGGAGATCGAAACTCCGCGGAGGCTCGTCGAATCAATCGTCCATCTGGGGAACAAAGTGGACCTTTTATCTGACCCAGACACCGCAATCAGCAGAGCCCAAAGAATTCTTGGTAGTTGTATACCGATATCCGCCGTGACAGCGGCAGGGATACGCGACGCTCTGGAAGTGATAGAGGGAACGCTCCTCGAAAATTCGAATAGGACCAGGCTCAAGATCCGATGCCGAACAGGAGGTCCGGAGTACGCACAAATCTACCGCCGCAGCGACACGGTCAGTAGCCGATGTGAGAAGTGATCTCTGATATCTTCCATTCAGAACCTCAAATCCGTGGATTCGTAGTATAGTATAGTCGTGTCAAGTCCATGGATTCTAAGTGTAGGAAGTCCGACATTTGTTTTCCGTGCCGCAGGTGCTTCAGTTGACCCCTGACAGCAGCGATGAAAACTTTTCCATCATGGAGGTGACCGTCAGCCCGGCTAACCAGCAGAGGTTACGGGCGGAATTCAAAGGAAACCCTTCGGTTGAGTTTGTGTAATATAATTTCCGTGCTGAATCAGAGATTCTTCCGAAATAGAAGGAAGCAGCCCTCGCTTGTTCGGCTTTGTTGAACTGTCGATTGCTATCTCGAGAGTTTCCAGCACGCATCGTCCGGAACGAGGTCGAGGCAAATCTATGACCAACTTTCCGCCTAATCATCCGCGGGACCAACTGCGGACTACAACTGCGGAGGGAGATGCACCCGTTCGTTGACTGACCGGGACGAAGGAATCTGGCATCAAATCAGGGGCATGGTGGATAGGAGGCCAAAGGACAATTCCTTCCGTCGGCCAGAGGAATTATAATTAGTACTACCTATAATCAATTTCGGACGAAACCGAATCAATATCGATATCGAAAAAGTGGGTATCCCCCAGCGGCTGGGGGATACCCACTCCTTCTCAGGAGACTGACGATTCCGGTCCGTGGCTAGCGTGTTTAGTGTTCTCCGCGAGTATCGAGTAGTCTGGGATCAAGGGTTGACAGGTTTGGCTTTTATTGAACTCCCGCTGGTATTCTTCCGTATTCCCGCTCGGCCCCCCCTCCCTCTCGCGCTCCAAGTCATCACGACGTATCGGTGAACAAAGTTATCAGGAGTCCGCAGCTCTTGAAAGATTCAGCTCTACTCTTCCCAATGGTTTCTTCCAATAGCTGTGGGAAGTCGGCGTTGAGAGCGATAGCTTCGTAGAGGTTATCGTTCTGGCGACGGAGTTGGTCCTTCTCCGGATCGGTCATGTCCACTCTTTTAGCGCATTCGATAGTTGCCCTCATGTAATGGCTCACAAAGCAGAGTATGCACAGATCATTCCTCTCCGGTCCCAAGATAGGTTTGATACCTTCCAGCACTTCATCGGAGCTCATGTTTTCAGCTTTCGAGAACAGCACTCCGAGTCGAATCGTTTGCTCTGGTTCCACGCCACTTTCGGCGAGACAGTTCTGCAACACATTGTAGGCTTCTTCCTCTCCGAGCGCAACGTTGATCGGCACGCAGTAGCAAATGGACGGCACCATGGTGAAGACGAACAGAAGAAGCAGAGGCTCCATCTCGGACGCACTCGAAGATTAACTCGGTACGCGCCACATCCACCGATTCGTTTTAAAGCTGGCTGAAAAGAACGAGAACAGTTCCGGTTCTCAAATTACTAGAAAGAGTAGACTCTCACTCCACTGTCATTCTAAGCATGGGTGGCCACGAGGTATTCCATTGAAAGTTTTCTTCCCGAGTGTGTTTTCAACTGATCGAATCATGAAAGGCATGCCTCGGTCGGAACATAAAAGCCCAATCGGGGAAGAATTATGAGGACTGCTATCGTCATTTCCCGTGGCTGTCATCAAAGCCATCCATACGACGAATCGGTCCACCGAAGGATTGCCGTGAATTTCACGGGCTGCAAGCTGGTTATCGCGACCTCCGTTTTTCACGGTCTCAACCTCATCATTGGCGAACCCAGGATTTGTCTCCGTTGTGAGGGCTCGGCTGTACTTGAGAATAAGCCTCGAAACTAGGATGGTGACGGTGCATCGGCCGCATGCCGCATTTTACGTTGTAGGTACTCCTCATGAAGAGCAGCCGGTTCCAACCCGCTCCGACCGGTATCGGCCCGGTCGGCGGCGGACGCAAGAATTCGATCTAGGTTATTGTTCTCCTTCTTTTTCATGCGTTTCGGCATTGGGATGAGGAGGGGGGCTGCTCAATGATAGACGTGAGGACCCGTTTAGGCTGCTCCTCTTTCAACGCACTTCTGGACCGGACCGGATCGGACTCATATGGGAACCTGACCCATGACTTCAATGTATAAAAAAATACCACAGACACTGTACTGCAGAAAATGAGCAAGGGGTTGGGAAGGGTTCACTGGCTAGGAGTTGTGAACCAGAGCGGATTCGGATACACTGACGCTACACCACAAGTTTCCCCCCTTCGGTAGTAAGAATCGCCGCCCGTTTCATACTCTATCTTCTGAAGACCGTTGCTGAAGTGAGTGCATGAGCCAGGATTCAACCGTTGAGCTAGTGACGAAGCTCGAGTGTACACTTTTGACGTGAGGTAGTCCGCAAGGTAATTTCGTCGGGAATCCTGACGGCTGAGGCTTGAGCCTCGAAGTAATCTCGGACCCTTCCAAGTTCGTTCTCGGGGGTAGTGGTAAACTCTCGCTGTTGAAATGAACGACTGTGAAGATGGTGAATTTCAGTCCCCATCTCTGTCCGACCCCTCATACCCCTCATCCATACTTCGTCCGCATCAATCAATTGACCCCGGAAGCACGCCTCATCAGAACCCCAGCTCACATTCTGTTTAATGCATCAATGTCCCTCTCTCAGGTTCCTCTCTCATTCGATAGGTACATGAAGACATTCAAAGCACAGAATAAAGCACTGTCCGCTATCCGGTATCCCACTCTCAATCCCTGTGTGTATTTCATCACGACTTGTCGTACGGTCTGAACCTCTACTCTCGATCAGTGCCAGCTCCTGGTTAGAGCACAAAGCTAATCGCGGAACGAGAGACAACTTCAACGCGCTTCTGAAGAGAAAAATCGTTCTCTGGCAGTCAAAGATCATCGGCATCATTTTAACCGGTATTAGAGAAGCGTGATGTCGCGAAGAGAACTTGCTTCCTGAACCAGGAAAAAACGCTTTCTGTTGCCTCCCTGTCCCTTCCTCGAGAAGAATGTCGGCTTCCCCAATATTCTGCCGCATTAAGTTCCATAATAGAAACCACTGCTTCCTCACTGTCCCTCGATCATGGAGACTACAGGTGGGTGCTCAACCACGGTGGTGGAATCGTGAAGTAAAGATTTAGGCCAGGAGGCTCGACCCATCGGCCTCCGACGAAAACTCTGATGATGGGGATAAACATGTCTTTGGAGCTGACATCGCTCTCCAAAAGCTCCGTTATTCTCTGAGCTGACAACTAAATCCCCTGTGAATGAAGCAGGTAACCGGGAGCGAATTCTTGACGTTCTCGCTGACACGGGCAGAAACCTCGCAGGGAAGCTTCGCGTCGTGGAGTGGAGAATACAGTGATGATGATCGAGTGGGAATCAATCGGCAGCTAGCCTCGAGGTCGGTTTCAGGATCAGTCGAACACCGGCTCTGATTTCTTGGCTCGTCCATAAATCCTCCGATCGATCTCATGCTTTCGAACCCCTTGATAAGGGACACGGAGGGAAAGTTGTGCTCTGAAATAGATTATAAGGGCGAAACTCCTGTCTGAAATTTCCAGTCTGAATCTGAAGGAGCAAGAAGAGGTCGTCTTCACACCCGTGCCGAATCTCGTCAAGTCGTTCCAAGTTACGTTGGAGCCGGCATCTGCAGACGATTGGGAAGTTTTGGTGAGTTCGAGCCTTCTGGGATATCCGTGAACGGATGTTTCTACTTTCGGGTTGAGGTTCGAGTCGCAACTCGGCGGGATTCTCTGTTTTTCAGGAGATGAATGTCAGCAAGGTGGAGAACGGACTCTTGGATCAAATAAGAGTTTTCTGGAAAGATCTCTTGTTCCCGTTTGCTGTACATCCCGGCTTCTCCATATCCCTGCGGGTCGGTGAGTAGAGATATCTTCAGCCTTGGGAATTCGGTGCTCTGGCTTCGTCGTTGATCTTCCAGTCTGAGAGGAAATTCCGAGAATCACAGAAACTCTCTTCAGTCTCTGCGCAACCGGGGTTCACCCCTCTGGAGTTGTGTCGCACGACGGAAGTGCATATCGTGCCCCGAGAACGAGTGAGGAAACCGAAATCAATTCCGGCTTCAACAATGGAGGCGACGAAAGCCGACGGTGTGCTACCATTCACTCCCCTCAGCGAATCGGAAACGGACCCTTCTAGAGTGCATCTCAAAGCTCGTCTCCATGGAACTATCGAAGCTCCACAGACCGAGGTATGAGTGTGCTTCGGTCACCGAGCATTCGCCGTCAATTTTTCGCCGCCTCCCCTGACTATCGACCGTAGAGGGATTCCAAGTATTGAAAACCTACCGAAGCCTCTTTCCCCGCAGCTTTTGCTTCTGACCAACTCTGTCGAGGGAGATTTCGTGGCTCTAGTCCGCAGACAGTGCCTGCTCTCAGATTCGGAGAATCGGAGACCTGACAAAAGAAACGATGCCATCCTACCGGACGGCTGTTACCCTCTGAGAGGTGAGAGATCCAGACCTGATTGCCTTTTCCTCAACGGACAGCGTGGACTCTGCCTTTCTGCTCTGTCCGGGTTTCGAAACTCAGTGCTGTCGCTACAAACTCGAGCGGAAATTGAAAAGCCGCATTACACTCCTCAGGAAGCACGGTCTGCCGCGTCCGAGTGCACCTGAACGCCTGGAACAATGAAAATATGCTCTATAGTCCTCTCGCGCTCAGGAAGCGTCTCGGCTTGGAAGATTGTTGCGTTGTTCAGCTAGAAGTGCTCAAGGAAAAATTCGAACCCATATCGAAGTTGATTGTGTGCCCGATTCTGAATAAGGTTAGTCCGGATATCAATAAGCACATGCACCCGCGAGAGGAAGCGAGTCGCAGAGCAGCAGGGCGATCCTCAAAGGTCGTCGCGGAAATCAGCGCCGACTCGTAGCTGAACATTTTCTCTAATGAGGGCTGTTGCGTTTCATCACAGATTTCTTGTCCGAAGTCGGAGGCTGGTCTGCAGGAGAGTCTCCGAGATGAGGCCTCGCGGAATGGCCCTCTTCTGGTGACAGCTGGCACTTACCTTGAATTGCGAGACAGCGGCGTCATCCTGAATGTCGAAAAGACAGGATGGCTACAGGGAAACTGTAAGGTCTCCGTTTCGTTGGGACGAGAACTGGAGCCCCACAGCGTGGCCGAATCGCCGTTCCCTGTTCCAGTGGGAGATGCCGCTGAGCTCGTTTCTCCGGCAGCGGGGCTACACCAGATAGGGTGGGTTCCGCACATGTATATTTTCTCTCTTGTCGTCGACATCGAAGCCACTGATTACGGACAGATTTCATCGCGAGTTGATCTGCGAAGACGTTCGATGAAAATGGACCATCTTTCAATTCAGGGGCTACGAGAGTATCGTGACGACGCTCACTCGTGGCATCAAGAACGGACTCGGCTCGAGATACAATTTGCGTCTATCGATGCTTATACTGGGGTCCGAAGGCGTCGGTAAGACCTACATCACGGAAACTATCCTCTCCCACCTGAAACATCAAAGGTCGATCTACTGGAGAACTATTCCTTGTTCGAGTCAACGAGGTACTTGGGGATCTTACTGTCGCGAACGACGAAATTGGCTTATTTCTGATTCAATGTCCCGCTCATGATCACGCGGGAGAGACGCTGCAGATGACAACACGATCGTCGATTTTCCAGGAAAACGCACGGAAACTCTAGCTAAAGAATGGTGGAACGCTCTAGTCGAAATCAAGGCTAGAGCCCCCGCCGTGATATTTTTTGATGATTTGGACGCAATTTGCGGTGTTCCCTCTGGTCAGGACGGTGGCAACGGGCCGGATAGTCAATATATAGCGAGGAATTCCCGCGCTTTCTCTGAATTCGTAGAAAAGGCCAGGTTCTCATCGGAAAGAGTGAGTCCCACCACCAGTGAATGCGCAGGCGATCCGAATCGACCTCGGGTCTGATCGCGTCGGGGTTCGCTGTGCCATTCAATCATTCGAGTGCTTTTCAGATTTGCATTCTCGCAAGCGCAAAATCGTACACTGGCTTGAGCGGCATCTTGACGAAAACATCCGGTTCGAAATTATTCGACGAAGTCATTGAGCTCAAACCGCCCACGGCCGAAGAGCGATCGCAAATATTCAAGGTGGGTCGCGAAGAGATCTGAGGAAAATCGATCTGGAAGAAAATTCTCGCGAGAATTCGTCCTACTTCGAATTGACCGGCTCATATACCTCTCACAGTCGATTTACTATGTAGCGATCCGGGTGGCTGAAATCTCTTTCTCCCGGAAACCCAGGTGTTACTCGGGAACAAAGGCGTTCAGTGTGCAGACGCCAGCGAGATCGGTCGTCGCTTGGATGGCTTCGTCGCACGGGACGTCTTGGCTCTCTCTGTGACATTGAGCGGCATGATGACGAACGGTAATTGACGATTAGGTTGGCAATGCAATGGTCCCTTGCCGAATCGGAGGAGGACGACTGATGAGCGAGGTTCACGGCATCACCCCGTTTTTTCCGCTGATGAGAAATGTTGCTCCCTCAGAGGGTCTGACCGGATTGACTGACGAGATTCTGGACAGAGCGATCAAATCCACGGAGCCCATCGCCCTGCGCGGTTTGAAACTGGCGGAAAAATCAGAAACACCTCCCGATTGGGACAGCGTCGGAGGATTGAGCTCTCAGAAGAAGATTCTTCGCGAAACCTTCTTGTGGCCGACCTTGGTACGTGAGCAGACTGGTGTGAATGCAGAAACTGGCCTACGCCCCGCTGATCCTCGAAATCATCGCTCTCATTCTTTTTTCTTTCGGCAGTATCCTCAACTGATGAAGCAGTGCCCAATACGATTGGTGTCAGGCATTCTATTGTACGGGATGCCTGGTACGGGAAAAACTCGTTTGGCATCCTGCCTGGCGGGAGAGCACAGGATCAACTTCATTTCGGTCAAAGGGCCGGAACTCTTGTCGAAATACGTCGGAGCGAGTGAAATGGCGGTCAGGGACTTGTTCCAGAGGTGGGCAACCGATTATTCTGTTCGATGTCCTAAATCGTTGGTGGGGGTCTGTTGGGAGCGGAATGCACCTCAGGGCTCGATCTGACGTTTTTCGTCCGACTTTCAGAGCGAAAAGTGCCGCTCCATGCGTGATTTTCTTCGATGAGTTTGACTCGATGGCACCGCGTCGAGGCCACGACTCGACCGGAGTGACAGATCGATGCGTCAATCAACTCCTTACGCTGCTCGATGGTGTCGAAACGGAAGGTCAGTCCGATGTCTCGCTTCGGTACCGGTTTCGCTGATAGGTCAAGAGCCGTGTCGCGGAGGGCGAGAGGACGAGCATCAATTTTTTCTTCCATAGATAATAATCTCCTTTTCCAGGGGGAGTCGCTGTGTTGGCGGCCACCAGCAGGCCTGAGCTCATAGATCCTGCGCTACTACGACCCGGGAGGTTCGATCGTTGCATCGAATGTCCGCTGCCCGGTTCTGCGGACGAGCGGAAGGCCATTCTGACCGCTTTGTCGAAGTCGCTTCCTCTAGACGACAGCTGCGAATTCGATGAAATCGCTGAGGGAACCGTCAACTTCTCAGGCGCGGATCTACAAGCCCTCCTGTTCAACGCTCAGTTGGCAGCGGCGCAAGAAATTACGAGAAGCGTTTGCGGTGGCGATTCAGATGCGGCTCTCTCGACCAGGGGAGAAGAACTGGATTTCACGGGCAAATACCTGTCACCGTCGTTGGACAAGCCACAGACGGAAGTAAGTTCACATTTCGGCAGGGAATACCCTGACATCTCATCACTTACGCTCCCACGCGCTATAGGATGGAAAGCTCAAGCAAAACCAATTTTCTCCGTGAATTCGGCCGACGAGTCGAGTCGTGAATCGGGACGGAGAGAATGTCGAATGCCGATGGAAGCCGCAGTCGTTCGGCTATCTAGTTATCAAGATCGGTCGACTGAATGGGACGATGACTTTCCAGATGACGCGTTCAATGTTCGAATCTCTGCCAGATCAGGATCGGCTCGAGATGAAAGGACTCTTCCGAACGACGGAAGGACGCACCGGTGGAACGGAAGTTCAAATAAAGCTACGCACAGACCACTTGCGGTTAGCTCTGAAAGACACACACCCGTCCTTGAGCGAGAGAGAGATACAGAAATTCCGTGCAATGTAAGTGTGATTCAGAGGTCCGCGAGTAGGTACCTCCGACCGGGAAGCCGAGCCAGCAAAATCGGCGCCCAGATGATGCCAACGAGCTCGTTGCCTAAAATCGCGTAAAGTGTGCCCGATCAATTCGTTCAAAACATGGTCATCGAATACTTGACCGGATGGCTCGGGTATCCCTCCGGAGCTCTCATGATCGTACTTTCTTTTCATCAAAGTCGAGGCTTCCTCTAGGCAGTCCGAATCCCGTGGAGCTACATAATCAGTAGTTCCTCCCTCCCATTTCCAGGTATCATTCCTTTAGAAACGGCGGCGTGGATCTCACCACGGATGTGAAGCCCCGGGTGACGCTCGCGTGAAGATCGATCACGAGAATCCATGATGATGATGGTCGGCCGGTCTCATAAGCGTTTCGCTGTGATAAGATTTCGTTGTTCGTTCACGAAAACGGAAACATAATTCCTGCGAGGGAAGAATTCGCTCCGGGGATATTGTCTGTGATTTTCGGGTGTGAGTGTACTTTCTGTGAGAATAAAACTTCATCCTCCGGGGCGAGGGAGGCCCGAAGCAAACTAAGTGAGATTTATAAAAAAGGAATCAAATTCATGTCTTACGGAAGACGGCCGATAGGCTCCTCGAATATGAGAGAATACAGGCAGAAAAGTACGGAAAGAGCAAGCGTGAGGAGATGTAAAACTGCTGCGATTAGAAGTTGCCTGATTGATGTCAGGAGTTTGGAGAAGGAGAGACCACGTGTGAATACCTATATCTAAAATTAACTCTCTGATGGAAAGGAGAATTAGACAGGCGCAGGAGAGGGTCTGGAGCCTGGGAAAGATGCCCGAAGGCTCACCGGCAGGGCGAATAAGACCTCGTTATCCGACGGAAATCCAAGAGTGGACTATCTTTCTGCCTCGGCCGGGGCTGAGATTTCGCCGACGTGAAGCCAGGGTAGATCCTTTGACCCATGGCAGGAGGAAGGCTGCCCACATGAGGAGCATTCGAGTCGACCGTGAAGCACATGTTCTTCGAATGCGTCGACGCAATCCACACGGGCGAAGAATCCCTCCCAAGATTTGACCTCTAAGAACGAACGTGGGATCCTTCAATCGTGGCGAGAACCAAACGAGTTCAAGAGGAATGGGAGAAGGGGGCAGAAGGCTGATACGTCCAACTTACAACATTCCTTACTGACACCCCTGGATCAATGAATGACGACTCCATACCTCGATGGAAGAAGTCGATTTTATCCCGATGAGCGATTGGGGTAAGACATCCGTGACGTGTTTGATGCCCATTAGAATCCCGAAATCGTGGATGTTAGCTCAGTTTTGGGACGGGGGTCATGTCGTCATATTCCTCACAGTCCCGCGTGCGGGGGACTCTCCGCTTCGCCCAGCCGATATGTTAAAAGAGGGATTCGTTCCATGGAAACCGAAGTAAGTCCCTTGATAGGTCCTCTATGCAAAGAACTTTAGGTTGTTGACGATTGGCGCTCAAAACTCTTTTTCAAAATCCCTTGACTCCGCGTACCGTGGGATTTCCTCTAAGAGCTCGAACTTTGGCAGCTCATTCCCGCTGGAAAACGGGGAGTTACACCGAACGCTCTGTGAAAGCCTGTCCGCTTCGACGCCAGTTCTGAATTCGATGGGATTCCTGGAAAACAAGGTAGACTTCTCAGAAGCCGATCGGAATCAGCTCGCTCACAGCTCGGGCGGCAGCAACCCCAGAAGTTCCGTAAGAGTCGGACGATGGCGATACGGATACGGCGCTTCCGGAGAGGGAAGAGCAATTATTGGAAATCGGCGGGAATCCCTTATCATCACCGTCAGATCGAGCAGAAATACCTACGTCCGAACTCGGAATGGATTTTTTCGAATCTCGTAGTGTACACGCATTGCCAAGGAGAACTCCAATTTTTACCCTTTTCGGCGATTTCGGATTCCCTGCTCTTACATATTCATGCAGCAATCAGCGACCTCTTGCGTTTTGTGCAATATTTCCCAGCGTCGAATCTCCTCATCCTCTCCAATGAAGCTCTCCAGCTGGCCCAAAAGAGGAGGGACTGTTTACAACGTCTATTTTCAAATCTATCAGGCCACAGGTCTGATCGCTGTCTCCTTCCTAGATAGAGGTCTCGATGGCCTTGCCCGGAATATTGTCATGTCGTGTGGGCACAGAGACCTGAAAGCTGAGAACCAGAATATCGAAAAGTGAAAGTCAGAATCAGGCGGTCATCTGTGAGATTCTCTCCACGAGAGGGCTCGATCTGGTATTTGCGTGTCACGCAGAATAGCCCATTCGATGCTCCGTTCATTGCGAGTTGTATGAATGGATAAGAATGTCGAGCTGAGAAACGGAACGTCTTGGCGCATCGACCATTGTGTGCGAACGAGACGGGTCGGATTTCAAGAGCTTTCTCACTCAGATGAGCCAGACATTATACTGGAGGTCATTGTAGTCGATTCAAGACCGCTACAATAATTCCTCGAGTCGATGCGCGTGACCCTTGATTGAATATTTTTCTGCATTGATGTTATCGGCTCGATCCAAATCCGTCTGAGAGAAGAATGTCGAGCTCTCGTCTTTTATGCTCCAAACCAACATCTCGTAAGAAACAACACGTTTCCGATTCCAACTTGCTCCCCTCGTGATACGGCGAGGTTTGTTCGACAGCTCACCGAAGATGAATCACATAATGTCCCATGGTTGTCAAATCGGGAAGGAGTATCCTCACCGTTTAAGGATTTGGCTAGAGCTCCATTAGCGGGAATTGAGAGTCAGCGATTCTGCCGAGTAATTAAAACTTCGGTGAACGAATTCAGGCTCGTCACGGCACACGACTTTGTCACGACGAACGATCGCCATGAAACGTCAAGCATGGATTTGACTCTTAATCCAGCATGAAGGCCCGACGATGATTGATGATGACTTAATCTTCTCGGGACCTCAAGATTCTAATGAAACATGACATCATCGCCTTGATTATAATTAAGATTGGTTTCTCCTCCGTGTTTGGTCCTCCGAAACTTGGAAGGGTTCTGAGGTTGCGGGATCCGATTAGGAGAACTTCTCACCTAGCTGTCAATTCCCGCAGCGAGTCTAGCTCGAATCAATAAGAACGCAAAAAAGTACGCGACGGGTCGAGAGAGTGGCCTCCCCCTCGAACACAGGGAATGACCATCGGTCGGCCAACATTTCACGACCGAGTCCATGAAATGAACGCTACCATGGATTCATTAGCTCGCGGCAGACGCCGAGTCAAGCCCTTGCTCTCCCTTAGACTGTCCGACTGGAAAGATTCAGGAGAACAATATCGAAATGAGGACACGGAATCGATCGGTTGACCCGGTACGACTAGATCCCTTGGTTTCAATTCCTTGGTGTTTGAGATGGTCCGACCACCCTGCACAGTCGACTCTCACGGACCTTCCTTGATGCCGGAGAGGAGCGACGACATAGATCGTGGTATCGATTCCTGCCAGGTGGAATCTGCCCAGCTGATCCGGATCGGAACACCAAGATGTTCATTCAGGTGTTTCATTGATGGTTGCTTCTAAGTAAGCCGTCGTCGTGATATCTGGAATACCAACTAACACTCGTTGTGGCTGGCGCCCGAGGAGCGGATATAACCTTCCGTTCCTGACCGATGTCCCTGAAAGAAGGCATGCCATATATATCAGGACTTACATGTGCTCTCCATGTCAGAGCTGTAAGCTGTTTCTGTCAGCGATTCATCCCCTTAGCCTGCTCTCCTCTGTCATGCTCAGACTGTGCACAGATAATAGTGAGCCTACCAGAATAGTTTGCGTACATCGAGATCAGAGAATCTGCCCGATGTCGGACGTGTATCCAAAAGGACAACCTTCGCTTTCTGAATCATCATTCGATGTTGGCCATATTTCGCCCTCCGCGACGGGAACGAACGGATCCGTTGCATGTCCCTTGGAATAACAAGTCTGTCTGACTCGACGCGGCGGCTAGGTAAAATTGGAAAAAGGGTGACTGCCTGAATGACTTCCAAAATGCTGGAGTATAAGCTGTGCAGACAGAGGGATAAACCAATGGCCTTGAAGAGTCATCGAGATAACAGGCCGATAGAAATCAATCGCTCACTCGCGGAACCAGTCAGAGACCGAGCTTGTCGGCGCGGCGGGCAAATGCATCGAATAAGGAAAGACAAAGAAGAAGCGTTCAATAGACGGCTGACCGTCCAAGAAATCCTCCTTACTCCAGCATTCGATGAAGTCGTTGTGTTGGTCGGGATGGATTTCAGCTCAGGCTGCTAACATCACTTCGGAAGGAAGCGTCGGAGTTATCATCAAGTCGAAGATAGGCTCCTGGTTTTCTATCGTTGTCTCGACTTTCGAACAGAAAAATGGACCATTCCAACGTGGAAGAATGACATCAAGGAGAGAGATTGCCATTTCGGTCGGCGACTAAATTTTATTGGCATCTTCTCCATCTCTGTCAGAATTAAGCAATGCTCACCGAGGGCGTCTTTGTCTGGCTGCTCATGACTTCACTCTCCCTACGCGCTTCGATATCTTCGGTCGCTTGGTTCTTGGCTTGAAAATCAAATACCTTGAAAGTGCGCGCGAGTCTAGGAGGGTCCTGTTTTGTTTTGAATATACATTTATGAAAATCCGTTGATGTCTCCTGATGTCCGGAAATTCTGCCCTTTCTCTCACGGTGTGACTTCAGTTTCCTTTTCCTCACGTACGTCCGCCGCCGCAACCCTCGTGACGTAGTATGTTTTCGAACACACGGATTGTTCGATGACGGCAAGCCAGAACTTCTTGTCGATTTCAAATCGGATCAATTTGGGATGCTCACGTGTGATTGCTCGACTTCTAGGGCGAGCCGGGTAATTGATCATCTTGACGGTCGGCATCTTCCGATCGATCGAGTGATTTCGTACTCCGAAACCAGACTCGGTTTCCAGCTTCCAGGATCCTGCTCCGACATTCGCCGTCATCTCAACCCCTTCAGAGCGGTTGGCGCTTCTCGAGCATAGATCTTCTGTACATTATGATTTAACAGCATTATCTGTGTCGTTGATCCACATATGATGGCTTTGAAACATTCCGGGTCTCTCGGTCGTCGACCCATTAATATCGATCAAATGAACGATCGGTGAAAAATTAAACAATCAAGCAGTAAATCAATCGTAAACATGCGAAGACGAGAAATCATTCTAAAAGAAAATCAAGCCGCAGCAAGTCTATGGTTTTTGTATAATCAGTACAGCTGTCGATTAAACAATCATCTCTAAGTACCGTCTCAGCGCGGACAATGTTTTCGAGCAGTGCTTCTGTTAATAATATCATTCATGATAATAATAATCATTATCATGATAGCTATAATCATCCTCGAGTTAATCACACTTCAGGAAGAGACAGACTAGTGTTCCGAAGCTCATAGCCTTGTCAGGGATATCAGATTTCCGGGGGAGAAAAGAAGTGCTTCCGACCGTCTCGGATGTGACGCGTTTTCTTGTCTTCGTGTTTAAGCCTGTGTTTGATTGTGTTACACTAACCCTCCATCAGACAGTCATTAAATTAATATTTTCGGTGTGTTCTCTCTCGTCAAAACATCACAAGTCATCTCTGAGCGCCACTCCTCGTAGTCCTTCGTTCCATTTCAGGAGAGAACTTTATCCTGAAAAGTTGGATCTTCAAGTGGGCACATAGTTCCGAACAGACCTGATGGCTGTAGGCAACGATGTCAATGCACGCGATCAGCGTGCAGAAGTACAACACGTAGACTTCTGGTAGAAACTCGCTGAAGTACTGGTTTAGGAAGAGGCATACCGGGCCCACCAGCGCGTAGTCGGTGTACTTCATTTCACTTTTCGACATCTGAGCCACGATCAGGCGACAGGTGACTTTGGCAGCGACGATGCCGAACGCGATGATGTACAGAGTAGGATGGAGCTCAAAGAGGTGCGATTCGCTCTTCTTGAAGATGCAGTACGCCGGTACTATCACCAACGCGTACGGTATGCTGGGAGATAGTACCGATGTGCCGGCGACAGAAGAACCGTTCTTTCCCGCTCCACCCCACAGGATCACACTGAACTGCCGCAGAAAAACGAGCGATGCATTCACGAGACCTATGTAGAACGGGACGAATCTCATCTCGAGGTCTCCGATGGGCAATCGGACATCCCAGATTTGAGGACCAAAAATCGCCGTCAGCACGTAGATTAGTATGACGATGCATTGCACCTCGGTCACGTCAAAACGGCCGACGCTCAATCTGCCCGAAACGAAAGTTTGCCAGTGGGCGCAGTAGAAGAGGGAAATCGCGATGAAACTCTGGAGAAACATGTAATCCGGAACGGCACCGTATCCCATCGTGATGCAGGATCCAATCGACACGAAGACCGTTGAAACAGAATCGCAACCATGATCGAATAACTCGCCCAGCGGCGAACTCGAATTCGTTCGTCGAGCCTGTTTCCCATCACACGCATCCAGGGTCTGGTAGATGAACAGTCCCAGAGCCGAAAGTAGGAGACACCAAGCGGGAACGTAGCTCTTCCCATCGGGACTGTACCACACGAGTAGGAGCGTCGTTACGATGTTGACGGCAAGGCCGACTATCGTCATGAGGTTTGGCGCCAGCCATAGCGGAAGACGAGCGGTTACCGCATTCCAGAAGGGTTGAAACACCGGTTCGAGAAACGAGCGGCCTTCACATTTGTAGGAATGCTGCGCGAGGCGTTTCAGCTGCGCCGGCTCTAGGATCTTCTCGTAGCACACCCACTTCAGCATCGCGGCTCCGTTTTGGCTCCCATTGGTGTGAGCTAACCCAGAATTACACTGACCGACTGCTGGGAGTCGTTCGATTCTGAACAGCCACCGCCACTTGTAGAAGAGGGTCGACACGGAGGAACAACTCGACAGTTGCTAAAGGCAGACCCTCGGACGCGGTGCTTACCACAAAGAGGTGAGAGAAGCATTTCAAACGGAAGAGCGCGAAGTCGATTCCGACGCTAGGTAGCGCCACCTCTCCGGTACGACGAGCCGAGCATCTGGATTCTGATGAATGAAGTCTGGGTCGCTTGCTCGAACTTGAACGACATGGGACACGACGGCCGTCCCCTCCGTTGGAATGGCTACGTGTATACTCGGGCTTAGAATCTCTGGAGTCTGAAATTCCCGTCCCATGGGCTTCGATGACGGATTAGGTTTCCTCCTTAATCGCAGTCGGATTAGGGAAGTTCCGAAGGGGAGAGCCGATCTCTCCTCCATCCGACTCTCCTCCGCGCACTGTCTGCGCTCCGTCAGCGATAAGGGGGATGGAGCGAATCCGTTGACTAGATCCCAAAATAAACAAGGAAAATGGTCTAAGCGTCCTTTCCCTGTCTCCTCGTTGAGCAGGTCCCAGATTCTCATGGTCTTCTGGATATTTTGGACTCTTTCGGAAGGAGGCAGCAGCCATCCCAGTGACGAGTGGTCGCCGTCTCTGCGATTGAGTCGGATTATTCTTGAGCCATTCGGATCGATATACATCGGTCTTCGCATGTGGATATTCCCTGGTCCTCCAATTGCTGATCCCGAACCTGGTCTCTTCATGAAAAACTACCGTGCAGAACGCAGAAAGACTAAGAACCATAAGCCCGAATGCGCTCGGTACACAACGGTCTAGACTCTAGACTTTCGGAAATCCGCGATCATCAGATGCGTATCATTTCCATACAAGCTTTCCTTTCTCTTCGAGAATGACCTCACATGCGATAGATTTGTGCTTGCCGTGACTCGATATCGTGATAATGGACCGCGAATGCTTTTGGGATAAGTTTCGATGGCCGCACACAGGTCGACTGACGGCATTCGGAGGGGGCCAGCTCAAGCTACCTCGGTATGGGGAATGTCTTCTGGCGCGACCAGGCCTGCCAACCTTGCTCATGACAATGAAAAGGATGCTAGGCCAGGATGACGAAGGTTCGCTGGCCTTCTCTGAGTCCGTGGGTCTCATTGGCGTTGGAGGGGGGGATCATCTTGGACTTCATTCCGGGGGGCTACTCATGATGAACTGGTATCACTCATATACAGATCACCCCCAAGCTCCAAACAGAGACTAACCTTCAGTCATGAAGTCATCGGGCGTTGTTGAAGAATAATCCGCTCTCACAGATCGAATCAATGGTGAGATGAGCGACGGACTGCGTCCTAGCCGAGCTCCTCACCAAATGCGATACCGACAGGGTATCTTCAAGGACATTCCATATCCCGAAGGAAAACCTCTGACGAATCAGTCCGATTAATCGAGCCTCGGCAGTACTCGTACGATTCCCGAAGGTCTGATTCATCAAGATGAAAGTACATATAAAGAATGATATTCGAAAATGTCATATACCCGCGGAAAGATTGAGTGAAGACCATCTGAGACGCTCTCCTGCCTCCCTCATCCATAGCGCGGTTTGATTTCCCGGAACGATTTATTGCAGTGATGATCCGTGCAGGAGCGCGAGGACGCAGAGTCATGCGTCTTCGACGCTTGCTCGGGAATCCTATCCGAACCATAAATTGAGAGCATTTCAGGAACACCCCCCTGACCCCATCTCCTCGCTCCCTCGTTGCTCGTGGGGTCATCGCCGAGACGTGGGGCGACGAAAAGTGCCAAGTTTTAAAAACCTGTCGTCTGCTCTGTTGATCAACATTTCGCGCGGCATTCACTGTTTTTTCTTCCTCATAGTCTTCGTTTTCTAATACTGCTCGCACCGTCGAATAGAGACAGATCGTCGTCGGGGAGATGAGGTTGATGGTCTTCTGATACCATCCGCCTTTCCCCAGCTACGGAAAAGCCACCCGGCGAACACGATGACGATTTGGAACGATTTGACCGACAACTTTTTGACCTGGGATTCAGCGTGCTTGCTTTTTAGCGCCGGTGCCTTCGGCTACGCTAATAAAGTATACAACGATCGGTATAAGAGCTTTCTGGCCGTCTTCGTGAGTATGCCTCCTCAATCGCATACCGGGCGTGCGAAGTCTTGGCTATTATAATTATTATTCGTGAGTCGCGCACCGAGCCCGCGTAGGAGTCAGCCGGAGGGTCGAGCAGAGTTCCGGATGAGATCGGGGCCTCCTTCATTTAATTATTCTCTCCCTTGAGAGCACTGTCGCCGTGCGAGCTACTCTCGGAAAAAAAAACGACTTGTACGATTCGCAGACTGCACGCCAACTTGAGATCAACGATGAAATCGGAAAAATCCTCCAAGAGGACTACCCCGAAACAGGGTGCGTTCACGCAGTGGTACGCGGGACTGTCAGAGCGACCGGACCGCTCCTCTACGCGAGGATGGCTCGCGACGAGAAAGGTGTTTTGGTTCGCTTCAAGACGATTGACTACCGAATGAAGTGGAATCCGTTCTCTAGAATGTGGTAAGTGGTCTTGAAGATTCCTCTCGTCTACAACATATTGTGCCTATGCTCTCCATAGGAATCTTGAGCCCTAGCTGACAGATATCTCGGAGTGATTCGCGGCTGGACTCGGGTCATCGATAGTCCGATCTCCACGATTTCAGGCATCATGAACAGAAAGTTATCCAAGATTCCTTTCGGCACACACCTTTCGGTTTGGCTGCTATTGGTAATGTGAAAGGGAGAGGTTTCGTCGACGTTCCGCAACCGCTCGAGGCCGGGCTGGACTGCCTCACGAAAATATACGATAAGTACACCCCGGCATCGGGAGGTATGTCTCACCTGACCGGATGGCTCCGCGGAGAGCATACAGAAGGTGAGTGAAGACGTCGAGTCTCTATTCTTTGGCGGGAATTCAACCATTCGATGCGCCGAAGCTGCGTGCTCTCCGGATTGATTCAGTAATCTGAGAACCGAATGTTTCCATCCCTCAGGTGTGCGGGAAAAAGAATACATCCTCAAAGAAGGGGCTCTGGTCTTGGGCTTCGGGACGTTGAAAGCGGACGGCACGGGTACCATTTCTCTGGTACCTCCAGCCGACGGAACGCCCATGTTCCTCACAGCTGATACATTGCCCGTAGTGGTGAAAACCCTCGACTCGAAACGAGCTCACGCGCGATTCTGGGCTTTCTTGTTCGGGTTCTCATGTGTTGCTCTGGGCGCTTATGTCGGTAAGGAATTAGGAGTAGTCTCATGATTATCTCGATCCACTCGACAGATTTGAATGCCTCTCGATCACCGAGCCCTGATAATCTTCTTTTCTCAGGATATCGACTATTCAACAACTACCGCCGATGTCGACAGCAACGCACAGATTCTGTACGGCGCGACGAGGTTCGGCGTAAGCGACGACAAGAAGCTCGATCCCTCGTAGAAACGGGTCCGCAATGCGTGGTCTGCATGTCTAATCGAGTCGAAGTTATGCTGCTCGAATGCGGACACCTATGTCTATGCACTGATTGCTGCGAACAACTAGTCGATGGACTCTGCCCGATTTGTCGCACGGTCTACACGCGTCAAGTCGCGGCGTACCTGCCCTGATTCTGTCGGACTCGCGGACATCCAGCGATGAACGGAAGCCCCTGGCTATCATTGTTAAATTTAAGGTTAAATTGCTAACATTTAATGAGTTCTGATGATCAACGCGAAAATGGGACTCTTCCGCCACAATGATAGATTCCGATGATTTGAAATTACATGGGCTTCTTGTGAAGTCTCTTTTAATATCCGCTCAGAGGGTTCGGTGGCAGGCAGGAGAAATAAAACGATGAATGAATGTATGGGGAAAATTTCGACACCTCCTTTTGTTTGCTCGACTTGGATAAAAGGGATAGACGCTGAACGTGAGTCCCACCGTTCGACTTAAACTGCCAACCAAGGACCATCTGCTGGAGCTCGCTTCCCACAGACGCAACGCCGGGAAATGAATTACCTATTTCAGCTTGTTTTCCCATGTCACGAGGGAGCTTGGCAGGCATCACACGTAGACAACAAGAGGATCAATCTGATCTCTTATCTCCCCGCTAATACGGGGATTCAGGTGGGAGATTATTGTTGACCCTCCCTGAGAACTCGACAGATGCCTGACAGATGCTCGCTCTCAGGGTCTGCATATAAATAGTGGCGCTCGTATCTAGGGCCGCTAGACCATGATGAAGTCTTCCTTGGCAGCCGTGTTCATTGCAGTTTTCTGCACAGCGATCGCTTACGACGATCCCGTGACTGGTGAGCGGCCTCCTCGTCGATTATTTGTTCACGAATACATGAGTCCATTCTCAAGCAGGGGAGGAATGCATAGGATTACGGTCCAAATGTAACTGTAGGAGAATGTGGGAAAGATTGGGAGCCCATCGATGCTGGCGATCATGAGATCAAGGTGGCGGCAGAGTACGCGGCTCATGTGCAATCCCAGCTGTCCGGTCAAGTCTACAAAGATCAGTTGGATTATGTCGTCAAGGCATTCATAAAGGTACGATGGACTTGAGATGTGCCTCATTCCTTTCGAGGAATATATTGACAACGAAGGGTCCTCGCCCATGAACTCTTTCGCAGCCTTGCCGGTGGCCGAAATACAATTTCACCGCTATCTACGGCATTTCCAATTGCAAAGTGGGCGATTTCGACACCGAGAACTGTGATATCCAACGCGAACTGGTATGGGTTGGCCTGCTCGAAGGCTCACCTTGAATCTTCCAATGAAAAGTTATACATACGAAATATGAATGATTTACTTCCGATGCCTTACTAGGAAGTTTTTCTCTTTACAAGGGTCTTCGCGAGTGCGATGTGTACATGTGGATTCCTCCCGGCAGAGGCTCGAAGCTGGAAAAATACGATTGCAAGGACTTCAATGAATAAATAAGATTCGTCGCCGATCGACGTGGGCTCCGCCAGAATTTGGTCGGCGGACGCGGGACCGCCCTGCGAGGCGACTCGAGAACCCTCCGACGCTCCGGAGGGGTCTGATTTTCATGAGAGTCCCTCCCCATATCTTTCAAAAATTATAGTTCAGCTGATCACAATGAAGAAGCGACCCATAGTCGGGAAGCCTGGTGAATTCTTTATCGGTCAGGGGTCTCCAGAGGGGGTCTCCGAGCAGCTGCCTTATTTCTGCGAAGCATGTCTGGAAACGAAGACATTTGTATAATATTCGATCATGAGCATCCGCGAACGGTGTTTGTTGCGGGTCGAAACGCAAGCCCGGTACCTACTTCGAAGTTCGTTGAGCTTTTCTTGAGCCAGTGTGAGAATTCTGAACTCCATTCGGGGCTCATGGGAAAGTCGAATTTTTGTCGTATGGCGTTCTTGCGAACAACGAGGAGTTTCATTCCGGTTTGCTGGCCGTGAAATGCTATCAAGAGTAAAGTACAGGTGGATATCACCTATGTGGAAGAGAGAACTTAGCCCGAGTGAGTATTATCACGGTCGAGGACCGGATCTCCATCGCTTCGGGAATCTCTCCGAATGGTGCGACTCTGGAGTGCAACTCACTTCCCGGATCACGAGGCGCTTGAGCTGGGCACACTGCCGGACTAAGAGGACTAGAGAAGAATCACATCGATCGGAGAAGCGGTGGGGCTGGTGGAAGCGAGGCAAGCCGAGATAGATGAGATTTTCGAGCGTAGGGGCATAGAGCGAAGTCATAATAATCGCCGATTCTGCTGTGAGCGGTTTGAGCTGCGAATCGAAGACCACGCTGTCCACGGGACATCTCTCTTGCCATATCAGCTGTGGAGAACATCATTTGAGACTCGGATCAATTTTCAATCATTTATAGCATCCCACATCGGGTTCGATCTGAGGACTTTGCCGGGATTCGATTCCGACAGGCCTACTCACATCGCGTTTCGACCGTCCTTGGAAAATTAACTTGACTCTGATCCGAGGATTGAGCTTGTTGAATTCTATCCAGTTTTTCGCAGGAAGCATCATGCCGATCTCCGTGTATTGATTGTGGACGAGATAGATCTCCTTTAACGGTGAAACATTCACAGCGGAATTATTCTTTCCGTACATCCGACAGGCGGGTAATAGCGCGGCTCGCTTGTGAGCTCGAGCATCAAATACTGCGGGAAATTCCACTCAACCGACGAGTCGCGAACTTTATCCCCTTGGATATTTCTGACAAGATCGACTTCCATTCGACTACGACTGAACTTCGAACCCGGATTCCGGATGGGATCCCACGCTCCGTGGGAACAGATTTCCGAAGACCCGTGTGTCTTTATGACCGCAGTCCGAATCTCGCTTGGGACTTCGCATGGTAAATTTCTGTGGTCGAAGGATCAAACCAGCTGACTCTATAGAAAAGCACGAGCTATTGGGCACACATTTTAGATCATAAAATATGAATACGTAGCCCTCATTCTGGGAAGTCACGCCTAGGAGCGGGGATCAACAGGGTGAGTGGGAGCCCCTCCATGGTATGGACCCCACAACGGGCCGACCGGGAACTTCCCGGAGGTAGGATTCTCCGGGTTGGGAGCGGTCCCTATATCTAGGAGTGGGGAAGAACAACTTGGGAAGCTTCGTTACACATACATTCAGGTATCGGCAGCTTTCCGCGATGGCGATTAGCGTGTCTCCATGGAGGTTCTGAGGCGACATTTTCAGAACGCGAAGATTCAAGAAAGCGCCTGGATGCAAGAATGTGACTGGAGCTCTCGTCAAGTTCACGATCGATAGTGTCTGCAGCGTCAGCATACAGTTCGCGACAACCTCATCCAGTAGACTCGTCGCCTCCAAAGCCTTTTCCAACAACAGATTCGTCAAGATCAAATGTCGCAAGGAGTTCAGTTCTCGCAGTAGGTCCACCACGCCCTGCCGAAGAAAAAATGGAATCCATAAGGAGCTGTATGTGCTCGGAATCTTCAAATAGTCGCTCTTTGACAGCAAAAATGGAACGAACCCTTAGGAGTTGACCGCCTGTTCCGTAAACGTGGTTGTCGTGTCGTTCCGTACCTTGCTGGAGATGATCCGGGGAAAAACAGAACTCGAATATATGAAGGTTGGCGAATACTTCGACGTCCCGGCGCTCTCGCTGCGATTTGCTATAGTGAGCCGCTAAAGTCACGAAGTTGAAAAGATTCATGAGGTTCGACATTGGTTTCACGTGGATGGCTTGCCAGAAAGGAGCTGGAACACAAGAGGTCAGCATTCAATTCAACTTCCCGGGGGGAATTTCTATGTCGTAACAGGGAAGCGCAAGAACTATTAGAACGACGCGGACACATAATTGAAAATCTATTCTAAGTAAACAGGACAACTCCGTCTTTTATCCTATTCAAGACTCGCATGTTTGCTCATCAATGGTCCACGAGCCGAAGCCGCAGATCAGAGGAAACGCTTCCCGGAAACCGACGGCTCACCGACTTTTTGGAGGCAGAGCTGCATGCGGTAGTGGTCCAACTCGCGTATGTATCCAAGGTAGCGAGTGTATTTCCTTTTAGTTAATGTCCTATCATCGAGTAGGAATTGACGCCAACAGTTGGGCAGGTGGAACGTGCGATACCAGTTCCGACAGACCTGACGGCAAACCAAACTTGCGATTTGTTTCTCGCAATCATTGGACGTGCTGATATGGGTATCGAAGGCGCAACGCATGTACCTGCGAGGCCGCGTGCTTGTCCGGAATGGAGAGGTAGCTGAAAATCTGCTCGATAACCAGGTCTGGAAGGTGCTCCCATTTCGGCACGTAGTTCCGCCAGAATTCTTCGCCATACGAGTCTCTGCATTCCATTCTATCGTCCTTGCCTGGTTGTGGAGGATAGACGCCGATCAGCTCTATTTGAGTCCATAATTTCAGGAGCCTTCTGTGTGCTCCGAAGTTCAATAATTTCCAAGGAAAAGCCATGAGGAACGATAGCGTGAAATCGTGCTATGCGGATCGATGGACATAAACGTCTGAGGAGAGACCTTTGAACTGAGTCAAGAGCGAGTTCCCATAGAGGATGAATTCACGTGGCCTGAAGCCCAGGAGGTAGCGGAGCTGCTCGTCTGTTAGGTCCGCATCATTGACATCATCTTCAGCATTCCCGGCTGGATATTCTCTGACTGGGGGCTTTCGGAGAAAATGGTTATCTACAGGCAGGAAGCACCTTGTCTTTTCGCTCCACGAATTTCGTACGGATTAAGGCAACAATCATTCGATTTTCGGAAAAAAACTAAAAACGACAAATACCTCGTCTCCGCTCGAGTCCTCATCGTCTGAATACATCATTGGAGCCTGTGGACGAGTCACTTTCCGATAGGATCTATTCCGCCTATCGAGTTATTTGCGATAATTGATAAATGACAGACTGCCCGTCGAACTCTCATGAGTCGGCTAGGAGTGCTGTCTGATCACGATCACAGAGGCTGCAGGCCGAGACGCCGTCCTTAAAATAGGTCTCGGTCCCTGAGAACCTTTGTTGATGGCAAACGAATCTACCAGAAGCTGGAAACTCGTACTCTCCGAGAGGAAGGGTGCGCCCTACGGCAAGGGAAGTCCGAACTCTTCTCGGACGCACACCATTCGTATCGCGGAAGCAGGGATCAATCAGCCTGCGGGAAACTCGGCTTCAGAATCCGTTAGGATCGAGTGGATATTTTTATTTTCCCTCAGGAACGAGTTTTAATCAAGTTACGTGGGAACGCAGAAGCTTTTCTCCTTCTTGCCTGCTGAAAGGAAAAACCTCTGGTTGAAAAATGAGTGGGTCGAAAGCGGTGGCCCGATCGCGCGAGCTCGACTCGGATTCCCGCTCAAGCCGACATCTAAGCTGAGAATTCCTATTCACACTGTAAGAAGTTCGTAATCGCTTCCACTTCCTCCGTCAGCGATATTTGTCGTGGACACGCTTTTTGCATCGTCGTGGTCCCATCGTCATTTTCGGCTGCGATTTCTGACTTTCGGTGGGGGGAGAAGGAGCGGAGACGTTCAAAATAAACGTTTCCCTCCAGGGACTCAAAAATTCTTGGCTGCTGTCGATTCTCCCTCAGCCGAGAAAGAGCGTGAAGCTATAAGAGGGCTTGCAGACAACAAATCATCGACCGGAGTGACAGTCCAGCAAGATGCAAATCCGGAGTCAACTTGTTCTTCTGTATTCGTGGTGCTCTGTGTATACTGTGGTGTCCACCTATCCAGATCGGAACACTCTCCAAATTGTTCGGCACCTACTAGACCGAGTTAAAGACATTGACGAGGTTCACATCGTAGAAGCGAAACTGCTCACAGACTCCAGTGAGACTTCATCTACTGACACTTCGTAGAATATGATTTCCCAATGTCATAGTCAGTTCCCGGATGTGATGTGAGCCTATTTCAGCAGTGCTCCCTCGATCCCAGCCAGGACTGGCGTCGCTAGCGACGGTTCCCTAATTGAGACGAACACCTAGATACATTTTACATTAACACTCTTCACCGAGAAGCCCAAATCTCTGGGATGGAATCCTCCGACAGAGCTCCTCAGAGTGCGACAGTTTTCCAATCAGCCGCGGGAAAATGCCCGAGCGATACCGCTCATGATATCCACAGCCAGAACCCCAGCGTTGTCGCACTTGAGATCAAGGGTCCCACGCGAGGAGCCACTCGATCCTTGCAAGAAGATCCGAAACTCGCGAAGATCCCATACAGTCGAACTTTCCAAAGTGTAGCGCCACCTCATGAGACATGACTTGGCTTCCGCGCTGATGGGCCATCAGAACGCCACCAGCCCGACCCACCTTCTCGCGTGGTTTCTCCTTTGCCAATGACTATAACTTAGTTCTTGTGTGTTCGACTATGAATCTCATTCCGGAACCTAGAAGGACTTTTGGCGAGACCGTCCACGAGGACTCTAGGCAGCCTCATGATGAACTCAAGCCCGGCATACCCTTTTTCAGAGCTCGATGATCCCAGCCCGAGTTCAAACCATCAGAAGAGAGCACAACAAGGCCAACCCAACAAACCGGACACGGCTGCGAGTTCCCCCCGGCACGTGGTCGCGGGCAACGAACCTCGACACCAATTGATGTTTGTCGATGTCGGTCAAATACTCGGCATTCCGCAGCTCGGAGTACTCAGGGTCCCGCTCGGACAGTTACAGAACAGGTCGCCAGGAGTGAGTAAACCTTGAAAAGTCAAATCCATACGCTGCGTAAAGTCCGAAGAGACCGCATTGAATGAGGTTCGACCATTGTCCCATTAGCAACGCCAGTGGAATCCGCCGCACCACTTGTCGGCTGAGAGTCAAAGGTTGAATTTTGTCGCGTCGCCGTCTCAAAATATGAGCCAAGGAAACCGAACGGGTCCCGAATCGCAGAAAGCGACGCGTGATAATCGCATCTTCAACTCCCATCCACTTCAACAACACCGACACGCGTCTTTCCAACAATTTCCGCGTCAGTCACTGGCTCATTTTCCGGTTGTGATCATGGAAGCCACAATCGCTAGAGAACTCCTTTCTGCTGCGGTGAGTATCATGTTTGCTGAAACGTTTCACAATAAGGAAAAGCTCATTCTTCGTGAACGTCTTCCGAATCGAAGCATCAACTCAAGGAGCTTTGACGTTTTTGTCTCTGCAGACGCAAAACGCTCGGCCGGGCAGAGGACAAGTGGGACTCCCCCATAGACTGATCGGCATCAGTTCACGACCACCGGTGGTGATCACCGATTTCAATCCGAAGCTGCCTCTCCCCGGTGCACCTTCCACGCAAGCGGCTCCGGGAAAACTTCCAATAGAGCGCCAGAGTCCGCCCGCGTGGGCACCTGCCAGTGCTCTAACGGGAGCCAATCAATTCTCTCAGATGCCCACGCTGACGGCGAACCCGGTACATCGATCGCCCATGGCAACCGTTCGTCGACTCTTCGGACGGCCGGAGGAAGAAAACATTTTCATAAGCTTACCCCAACCCACAAGCCCACCTAGCGTGGCGAACGATCAAATGGTCACACAGCAACCCACCACGACATCTGAGCCTAGAACGAAGACCTCGCTCCGGGGTAAACTCTCGGATCAAGGCACTCAGAAACCATCGAGGCGACTAATTTTGAAATTCTTAGGTCAAGTTGCGGGTTGAACCTCGCCCAACTTCTGGCAATATACACCGACATATACTAAATTGTACACAATTACGCATGTAATGCTGGTCCGTGACATGCACAAACTGAGCGAGTGTGTTGATGATGGAAGGATCGATTCTGGTAAACGAGACTTCCCGTGTGTAATCTCTAATAAATATGAGGACAGTAGGCTAATCGAAGGATCAATATTCTCTCCTCCCCGCGAATTCTTCCGGCTGAACTGCGCTATAAGAGCGACACGTTCGCGTGACCGCCGTGAGTCGGAAGAAGCAATCAGAGACAGATTTTGAGCGTTTCCGCCGCTTTCGACGTTTTCGGCGACGATATGAAAAGACGACACAACTTTTCCTCATTCGCATAAATTTTCATTGAGAGTCATAAAAGTTCTCTTCTGAGAAGTCTCCTATAAAATAAGAACATTGTTCGAGTCATTGTTGAAACTTTGTCCTGAGGGCGGAATCCCTCGGTCGACTATTTCAAAGTCCGTGAGGATAAAAATGTCCTTTGGTGAAGGTCCAGCGGAGTGCAGTATGGCTGGTTATCGACTCGCGCTAAGCGGGTTTCCCATTGCCAGCCAGGGTCCTTGATCGTCTCCGTGTAAGAGGCTTTCGAGCCAAGTCCGTCGATTTTTTCCCGAATAGCCCGGAGCTCCGGGTAGGACGCGCAGATCGTTTTGCTCTCTCCGAGGCGTAGCGTCGCTGCAGTGATTTGCTTGTGAAGAGCTGATGTCGCGAGTGAAGAGATAAACAGGCTTCCACTCTGAACGTAGAACGTTCTGGGGCTCCTCCGAGGGTGTTTCGATTCCATTCGGCTCAAATAGTTTTGCTTCTCCTCATCCTTCTATAATGAGATCTCAGTTGATCGGAAACGAGAGTCAGCTCGAGCATCTTCGCCCTGAAGAAGAATTCATCCGTTAGTCCGTCGGGGAGACTCACTGCATCGATTCAACCGGACCTCGCGCTGCGATAGCACCCGATGAAGCTTCCTGAATAAATGATATGGAGGGCATCGGTCAAAGCTAATATCCCCACTTGTATATTGTGCACAGACTATCCACTTCTTCGAAGAGACGTTCGATATCTGCAGAGCGGGACAGAAAAGAAAACGTCAGTCAACAGGGTTGTCAGGAACCGACCAGGTTCCGGCTGTGGGATGATTAGTACAGTCCACCATACCTTCATCCCTCAAACTGTATCTTTCTAATTCTGTTGCTAGATCTCTGAATTGATCGTTTGCCTTCTGGAGGACACTCTCAAAGCCTCGGATACTCTGGTCGGCCTCGAGGACCAGTTCCTCATCCCTGGATAGAAGACTAGATTAGGAATTCCGTGTTCCGGGAGGCCTCATTCCCACCAAGGGATCGATATTGTATTGTATGCACATGTATGGCTCATTCACGGAAGAAATTACGACTCGAGAAAGGTCGTATGAAATTGGTCTACGCACATCCGGCTCTCCGCAGCCCCCAGCTGGGCTCTGATGCAGGCCAGGCGGTCACCGGCTTGCATCAAGATGGTCGTGCTCTGTTCCAACCTGAAGAAATTCAAGCCTGGTCGATATTCAGCCTAGGGACGCTTCCATACACTCTCTGTCGGAGCTGCTTGGATGAGAATTGGCGAACGGGATAGAACTCACATCTTCTGCAGGGGCACAGTCTTCATTTCCGGAGACTTGGGGGGTTGCCGTCTGTTTGGAGTGGAATAGTCTGTGCCTATGTAGAGCCCCGCTCTTCTCTACACGTTGACGAATGCGCCGTCTTCTGAAGGATGTGCTCGTATCGTGGATGGATGCTTCTTGGTGGACGTTCTGTGTTTATGTGAGCTCTCGTGCGCTAGAGACATGTGCACCGCTCGTCAACATCTCTTCGACTGGCATGCTCGGGAACGCAAAGAGGCTCCCTCGGTCGGAAGGAGAGAACCGGAGCGGTCCCTCTCAGATATAGAATAATTGTTCGTATTCACTATCGTGAAAGCCCGCGGCATGCGGGGATCGCCCCGCATGACTCGACTCCCTCGGACGCCGTCTAGGCGGTTGAGCCATTTCGCAGACTCCTGACTCCTGGGTGATCCCTGTAGAACAGACATAACAACGTGAACACCACGAAGCTATCGAGGAACATTCGGCCGGAAGATCCATGACATCAACCTGCTCCAGTAAGAGCCAGGCGCTCAAAAGAACGAATCGAGCACTCTCATTAGGCTATCTCTAGATCTCCGTTTGGAAACCGCCTCGTTATGCATGGAGCCTCGTCTGAGGCGGTCGAGGGTTCGGCTGCTAATTGAGGCGAAGCTCCCTCTGAGGGAAGTCGAGTATAGTCTTCTGCGAGGCACGGGAGTGTTCACTTCTCTTCTCTGTTCGGATCCGAGAGACGAAATGAAAGACGCCTTCAGCTGACAAGCACACCAAACAAATTAGAATCGTGACCATCAAGAATGATGTCGGGAAGTCACTTTCCGACTCTCTCGGAGCACCCCCTTCCGTTTCGAAACTCGCGAGAAATTTCAGAAACTTGCGGTCTGCCCTCGTCCTGTTCCTGCTGCAACAGCTGTATGTTTTCTCGAGGCCATCGAGCTGTGAATCAATGGAAGCGATGTACTTTTTCCAGTGCGGGGCTCTCACAAGGTCGAATTGGAGCAGTATCAGAGCATACTCATTCCATTCGGTAGTATCGGGGCGGGCCTTTATGATGTCAATTCTCCTGAACTTCCAGAGGAATTGGCTGATCCAAAGAATATGTTCCGGGAAGAGCATCCTTGCCACCTCAGTCTTCCCCAGGGGTATACGATACAGGTTGCGGAAACCAAAGAACTTGCGTATCTTATCGATTTCCAACTCTCGTCCGCATATGATGCTTCTGGCATCCGCTCGCAACCTTTTCGTTCCTCCCAAGAATTTGAGGAATATATTGATCGGCATCCTAATGTATGGGTCAGAGTTGATGGTGCCAAATCTGTGCGCACACTGCTCGACGTGAGTGAACCTGAACCCGACCGGAAAACTAACAGTCGAAGTCATATCTTCAACCAGATAGAGAGAGAAAAACATGTTCCCGAGAACCCACGTGTAGGCTGCGATCGGAACGCCCCTCTTGAGTCCCTCGGCAAGCTGTCCAGAGCTCGAAACCGTGCAGAGAAGACCTAGAAATGAATCAGTGAATGATGTGTTGCTCAGAAGATACATGGACGTCCCGAGCAGGATCATCACGGTGAAGGTGGCGAAGTTGAACACACCGCCCCGGTTCCTCGAGATAGAGGCATGCTCTGCAAAGCCATACGCGACGAGGCCTTTTTTCTCGAATGATGGGATTTTCGATGGCATTCGATTGACCTGGTTGACATTGTACAATTCCACGGAAACATTGAAGCATGGCTCGAGGTCCGTCGTAAAATTCATCATCAATGGTCCGTGTTTGAGTGTATTCCTTATGATTTGCCTTTTCGTGGGTAAATTCTGACATGGCCTTCGATTGTCCGGCGAAATCCACTCGCGGAGGCATTCTCGCACCTCAGGTACCATTTTGAAGTTTTCGTAGCTCATCGCGTAGCCGAAGGGAATTCTGAAGGATGTCTTTCTGACGCAGGTGAAAGTTGGGGGGCCGACACCTTTCCCGGGTTTATTGTTAGCATTAATGTGGACGATTTCTCGGAATTGGTTCGGGAAAATCAAAAGGTGTTTCGTTATGACGGGTGTTTGACGGTTGTTTCGAGTGATCACGATGAGCAAGTCCGTGGAAGCTTTTCCATAGAGGCGTCCCGAATTCGAAGTGAGCGAAGCCTGCGTTAAGTTCGCTTCGATGAATTCAGCGGTGTTGTTATAGCAGAAAAAAACCACTCTGCGGTCACTGGGTGTTTCTCGATCATGAGCGAAACCGTCATCCTCAGCGAAACCTTTGAAATCCCTCGTGAGGACTGGAAAGAGTGATGTCTCGAACCAGAGTCTCAGGGAGCAATCGACGAATTCAATTTTGAGGTCGTCTGTCTCCGTCATCACTCGTCTTAGTTCGCTGGAAACCGAAGCGATGATGTTCTCTTCAACTTCGGACGCCTCGAAGGTCGATTTAAAATGCCTCCAGGGAGCTACATGCCCGGCATCGGTGTCGGGCACCGATGGCTGGGACCTGTCGGGACTCCAATCTTCGAGGAATACGACGATCGCCGCCACGAAAGAGGCGAAGCACCCGACATATCTCTTCTTTCGCCAAATAATATCACAAATACCCCTCACTTCCAGACGACGGGCTCTGAGTACGACAGATCTCCACTGCATGGAGCGCGTAGGAACTTCGCCTAAGATTTTACACGCTAAGGGGACCGAATCCATCCGGTCACTACAGGATGTTGTGAATGCTTGCGAAGAATCATTCCCACAACCATGGAAACGCTGAAGTCCTGTTGAAAAATTGACAGGAGAATCGGGTTTCGCTAGGTCTCTTTTCCAATCTGAGAACTATATGCAGGAAGATTCCATGATCCCGATCGAGCGCTCCGACGTCCTTGGCGAGGAATAAGTTGCTGCTTCCGCGAATATTGCCGGCTGTAGTATCCGATTCTCTGGATGAGCCTCAAGTAGTTGATTGTGAGGGGAGAACTCGTATGAGATAACAAGCATGCATATTTGGATGGATCTGGCGGCCTTTTTTTACAATTCGAGTATCTACATCTCGTTGGTTTTCCGCATCTGCGGACACCCACTCCGAGGTTATTGAGTCATCTCGCGAAGAGCCCGGCGGCTCCTCAGCAGTACTTCAAGTCCAGGATTGGTGTACAAGTCTGTAGCCGGCACTCTCTCTTCGACCGATTGTTGAAAGAGACGGCGAAGGAAGGTGTCAGGTTTTGTAGGTATCCTTCATCGGGTATTGCGCATGTCTATCTATATTGTGATCTCATTCATCGTCGAATCCGGATTCCCGTCGACTCCTGGAGATATTCGAGATACTCGTATTTGCGAGGTCGCTGCGGAATCAATCATCTCAGTCCTCTTGTGAAGATAGATAGAGTTCGTCACCAAAGACTCCTCTCACGGTCAACCCCGACGTGTAGCTCGTCAGTCCGTCTTGGATCTATCTACGCGCATCCCAAGACGATTGTCTTCTGAAGCCATCACGGCACGAAAACCGATGGCGGCGATTCTCAGTTGCTGATAACATTTCTTGTCTATCTGATCTGGGAATCCCATCTGTCGAGAATTCACCATTCCAACACTACAAGTTGGAATGCCGATAAATGCCGCGCTCCAGCCCTCGCTGAGCTGGTGCGGAATCTCTCACTAGCTCAACATGCGCCGGGATAGGGAAGAGTACTGCGGAGAAGCTCTCCCAGTGCCGATCGAGCTATGTTTTCCCTCAGAAAGACGGGATATCCGATGCTCAAACATGCGCGGTATCAGCGGTTTGCTGACTCTTCCATCAACCGTTTCAGCTTCAGTGGAGCGCTACCAGGGTAAGTCGAGGTTCAGAGACACCCCTGTTGCGAAAGGTAATCTCCGAACTGTTCCCCCGCTTCATGGTCGCATGTGCGAGACTCCTACACAAAAGACCTTGATACCATCTGATGTTTCGGTCATTGTCATTGGTTAGCATGGGCACCCAGAGAGGGCGGCAGAACGCGACTTCCTGCCGGACGAAGATCACCAGCAAACGCTGCCCTCGTTTACTCATCAAGCAGGGCGCGTGCTGTAGAGGAACTTCAGCGACCTAGCTGATAGAACATTGGTTAGGTCGAACTTCGTAATGCCCTCCCTGGTAGACCTCCAGATCTAATCGCGGTGCCTTCGCCGCGAATCTTTTTCGACTATCCGAGACATTTCTCCTCAATGTCGGCTCGATCTCAGTCACCATGATCATGGTCATGAATCATGAATCACCCGATTCGGGGCAATTTTCAGAAGGCCGCTTCCCCTTCCCGGCCTCTATTTCGGATCTGATGAACCGTGAATATAACATCCGAGTTGGAGGGCTTGCTTGTCTACACTTCGATCTCCCTACCTACTCGTACCCTGAGTCGCGAAATTATTCGCGCACATTCTATGGGTAAATTCATGAAGGATGCGCGAATAATCTTTACGTATATCGGAAATCGCCCATCTGTTTCCTTCGTCAACCTACACGAGAATCTAGGCCGGGAAATCGGAGGGAGTCGGGGAGAGAGGAACGGCAGGAGGGTGTCGGAAGATGATGTCGTCTCGAAATAACGGGCAGATAGATGCGAGAGAAGTTTCGCACTCTTTGCGACTCGGACAGGTAGGTTCCTAACCTCAAGAGATGCCTCCGAAAGAGACCGCCTGTATGTATATTCGAGACTGCAGTCATTCAACACGGCCACCGGATGGCTCAGGAGCATTCTCGGTCTCCCTCTGACCTATAAGAACAGCCGATTCCTGTTGGTCCACACTCTATCTCCAAAGTCTGTACTATAGGGAAACGGGCCGTCCTTGTGCTTGTCCCACTCACCTTACGCGCCGCATTCTGAACTTGAAACGACATTGATCTCCAATGGCCGCCAGGCTTCTGCGGCAGAATAGCGCTCTCAGCTCTCACCAATGAAGGGTAGGTATGTTCTGAACCAAAGCCTATTACCTCGCTATTTTCCCGCAGATCGAGCTGGAGATGGAATCATCACTACTTGCGCTCCCGAGAAGGACGCAGCGTCGCATCAAGATCGGTCCAGTAGCGACCAGTTTGAGTTCTGGAGCAGGCTCGTGTCAGTCTCCCCCAGATGATATTATCGGTTGCGGGCTGATTGACTTTAGTTTCACGAGGATTTTGCATGGACGACAAAGGACCGGCGGCGGCTGACCGAAAGCCCTGCCAGAGGACTGATTTTGGTAGAGTTAGGGTCCAGGCTGATTCATCCCCATTTGGTGTCAGGGACACCAACTTGGCTCCTGTAGTGGGAGATCCGGTCAAGGTTTCCATGGCCTGAGCACAGCGGGAGCTTCGGAAGTTGAATTTCATCAATTTATGTCCATGCAAGTTAGTTACGGCTCATGGTTCGTCGGTGTTCGATCACCTTCGAATGACACTCATCCGAGCCAGAGAGCAGACTCATTCCAATCAGCACCAATCGATGACATGGAGACTTTCTTCACGGGGGAGAGCTGCCATGCCGGCTCGACATGGGTTCGAGCAGCGCAACAGGATATTTGCCGTTACATGGCTTACGGATACTTCGATTCTAGGGGGAACAGGTACATATTGCGTGCTTGGGCGCAGGATCAAGAGAGACATTAAGGAATTATTCGCTTTTTCGGAGAGCTTTCAGATAAACTTGCGAACGAAGATATGATTGGTTCCATTGCTTCTCCGAATTAGGATATGGAGAGGTACCGTAGACCCGGGTCAGATGCACTCACCGTCGGGGAGAGACGAGAGCAAGACTGCCATGATTCCAGGATCAGAATCCCACAGAAGACCCTCTTTTCACTCTGGGCGAGCGAAAGCCTCGGAGAACCCATGCCGCTAAGGGGAGGTGGGAGTATGCTTGAAAATTGCCCGATCAGCCCTTTCCCGCGTTACTCCCGATTTTCTCCGTGTGTATCCTGATGGTGTCTGTAATATCAAGGAACATAAAAACTAATCGGTAGTAGCCACCATAAGTAACATCAAATAGCCACAATAAGTAACAATAGAAATAAGAGTAACAGTAATTTTATTCGTCGGGATGAGTAATGAGACAGTACAACGTAGGTTTGATGTTTCCAATCACGTGCAGCGGATTCAAGAGTCCGGTCGGTATCTTGAGGATCGAAATTTCCTGATTGCACTGTCGATGCTCTCCTGACGGCAGACAATCGTGTTCTCTCTCTGAGTTCGGATTCTAACTTGATTTGGGACTGTTTCGAAGTCCTGATTCGTCTTTTCAGTCTTTCAGATTCAGCTACACTCAGCAGTTTCTGCGAGAGGGAACTTTCAATTGAAAGGAATCGCTTCGAAGACATTCGCGATCGGCAGCGGACACAACGCCCCCGATTCTCCTCATAGAGAACAGTCAATGGTCGGTCGATTCTCTCGGCAGGCGCAGCGGGAACAGGAAAATAACAAGCTGACGCTGTGGCGATTTGTGTTTTAATCCGGAGCCGGGCAAGCCTCCGGAGAAACTTAAGTTTTTCGTGTTGTCCCGTGGGATTGACTGCCCTCAAGGAGAAGACCAGCTGCGCTCCTCAGCGGAATCTGCCTCGTTCGAGATGACTTCGTCGCTCGTCTCAATGATCGCGGGCTTCTCGTGCTTCATGCTGGCACCGTGCTCGGCCGCGAATACATTCAAAGCTGCTGAAGAACTCAAGCTACGCGATTATCTATTGCCCGCCCGGGACAGGCTCGTGTTGCCGGTTCTTGATAGAGCGGAAAAAGCAAAATTCGCGATAAACTTGACCATACAAGGTGAATATTGAAGCATTGGGCGTGGAGGGAGTCTTCCCAGCGGTTCGCCGGCAGAGCACATTCCCGGGTCCCGGCAGAGGGCTGTGATGTGTTGACATTTCTGAGAGTAGGATCAGGGTCTTCGCTAAAGGACGGATTCATTTCCCCCTAGCCGATCACATCTTGGATATGACTGTGGATTCAAACGGCGTCCTCTGGCTTGATATGATTCTCTGTATGAATTGGAACGCAAGTTCGCTGATGTGGGACCCTCGCGACTTCAATAACGTGACGTATACGGCATTCTATACGAACTTCGTATGGTCACCCATCCTGGAGGTGCATGAGATTATCATACCGCAATCAGCGTTCGCCATCTCGCAGTATTGGAAGTTTCGGATGTCTCCCGTAACGTAAGAATGGATGCCTTGGACGGGCTCGGTAGAGTCTTCGATCTGAGAGCAGTAATTTCAAAGCATCGAAATTCCGATGTTTCGGAATATCATTGCAGGGTTTCTTGGAACGGCTACACGGAATTCTGCCCTCAAGTTCATATGCCCTTGAGTTGCGCAATCGAGGAGAGCTACGACGCTTTCCCAGCGGAGGAATTCAATTGCAACGCGGTGATCAAGGACGTGAGTCCCATGTCTCACATACAACACATTTCGATCAACGAAGGCACCAGCCCTGGGAAAGCGATGCGGTACGGGCGCTCTCCTAGCCTTTCATTTTTCCTCTCCGATTTCCTCTCTGCACAGCTTACATATTTGACATGCGCTCCTATGAGACTGTTATGACGGATTCTGGATGGCATTTCGTCCGTCTCTAATTCACAGAAGTTTCTTCACTGGCTCCGGGTTCGAGTTGTTGTTCCTCCAGCGGGAACAGGGAAAGAACTCGGCGATGCTCCGCGCCGCAGTCCGTCGCAACTCTAGGCAGTGGATGAATTCGGTGAATATTTTGAATGACAGCAGTCTCGAATGTTAAGACACATAATATCAGGCATGATCGTTCTGGCATTTGGAGACCATCCCCGCATCTTCCGGCTTTCGCAGGTGACGGTTCCAGTGATCCTGATCGGTTTGCTATCTTGTATCAGCTTGTGGCTGCCTGATCAGACCCCGACTCGAACTCTTCTGTTCTGCTTCGCTCTGATCGCCATTCTACTGCTCCAGGTTGGAAGACTCCTCTTAGTCCCTTGCCCGAGGACTCTTCCTCTGAAAGAGACACGGGGGACGCAGGATGGATAATCCTAGATTTGTCTGAAACTTCTAGATACAACTGTACTCGAGGCATCTCATGCATTGCTCAAAACCACCCACGGTCCTGTCACTGCTCGGGCAACTCGTCGTTGGTCAGCTACTGATTGGAATTTTGGTTATATTCGAAGTTTCCCTGGAGAACTCCGACAGTATCCGACGGCTCTACGCTCAACTGGACTTCGTGTACTCTCACAGCGTCGTGCACAAATACGCAGAGTGGACCCGAGTGAACTTCTTCGGATGGGCTTTCGAAAAGTTTGACGAAGAAGTGGATCCAAATGAATCACAGAAGAATCCACAAGAAGAAACCCCGATGAGTTTCCTTTTTTTCGCCGGCATAACAATCCGATTCTTTGTGACTGTCGTGAGCTTATACAACATACTAAGCTTCTGCGTCATGCTTCTCTAGAATAATAAATTCTTTCTATAACCCTGTTCTACAAGAGCATTTTTTTCCGTCGTAGATAAAAACGAAGAATCAATGTCTTTGATAGGACTCGGAACCATGAAGGAGAATCCCGAAAGTTTCATTATGCGATACGAAGTTTAGAGACCATGCGCATCGGAGTGTATAGAGGTCCTGATGCGCGGCCGCAGAATCTATAAAAAGCTCCGTAGTGTACCCATAGGAAGAGTACTCCTGCAGTCAGTGCCTGCGGTACGAGGCCTACCCTCACCTCCATCGTCTGCTTCGAGCCTCACGCTCACGGCGATCAAGACGTCAATGTGTTCTCAGGACGGTCGAGCGCCGGAACGAGTTCCGCTCACCGTTGTCTAACTTACGTCAGTTCCAGCGGACATGTGACATTGTTCACAATTGCGAACGAGTTCGCAGAAAACTTTCGGTGCCAAACATCGCCAATGCTCGATTGAATCCCGTATGGCGATCTCATCTGCCCCTGGGTAAGTGGACGCAGAATCAGGCTAGCGAAATATTTCCACCCCCAGATTCCATTCCTTCAGATGAAGCGATTGAAAGCGCACACGAACCTTGTTGTTCGGAACTCCATTCATCGCTTGACCGCAGCTATGTCCTCGACGAGCAAGCAATGCAATCGATAGGTTCACAAAGTCCGTGAAGGTTGGACGCCGCTCCAGATTGCCCCCTCACTCGCTCGGGGGAAGGCGGTGGAAGTTTGAGGCTTTATCACTGCTTTCCTGACTGACTCTCAATTCCGCAGAGATCCGGTTGAATATTCTGGCCGCACTCTAAAGAGGAGCTCTTGAGAAAGCTGAGGAAACTATGACCGGCAAGTGCTGGGAAAGGCTTGCCGATACACTCTGCCGCCATTGTTATCCAAGTTTTTGTTCGATATAGGAAACCACATTCAGTTCGAGGGTTTGACACTCTCAGTCACACAAAGACGAGTCCCCGGCAACAATCTTCCTGGATTATCGAGAGACCCTCCAAGCCTTCAAAAATTCAATGCTTACTTCCAAGACCGGGATACCGCTTTCGTGGAAATAATCGAAGGAGTAGCCAGCCCACCCCGCCGACTTCTGTAGATTCTGTTGAAGATCTGGAAGAGACAGTGCCGCGCTCCCGGGAATGAATGCCAAGGAATTCCCCCGACGGAATTGATCCAACGGTCCACGGCTTTCCATTCTGTTCGCTGACACTTCCTCTAATGTCTTCGAGTCCGGATACGCCCCATACATCGGAGTTCTTTGTGACCAAACATGATCATGATTAGCGTGACGCGCAGTGAAGAAATTTCGCGTGGATCCCGCAGACAACAAAAAAAGGTGGTTCTGCTTTTTCTGGAACTCGTGGAACAGACGCCACCTCATTACAGCTGTCTGTGCGATGATGGCAAAAGACGCGTCAAACGCGCAAACCTCCCGTACAATTAGGCCAGCCCATACTCCGGGATTCTTGATTTCAAGGACGCTGGAATCTCCTCATCCGATGGTGGTATACGGCAGAGCCCATTGTACTCTAAACAAGGGTGATATACAGTCAAAGAGTCTTCTCTTGCTCCAGCGGCCTCACAGAACCGATGGTCGAGCACGAAGCAAGATGCTTACCTTGAAAACCTCAATATCGATTCGAGAGGGCCCCCTCGAGTGTAACTGTCTCTGACCGGTCACCAATTAGGCCGAGATAGCCGCGGACTGTCCACTTCTCGGCCCGAAGCTCCCAGAGTAACATGGAGGATCGATAATGGCTGGAATTTCACCGGACAAGAGACCTTGGCCAACATCTGATCAAACTGCGAAAGACCTTCATCCTCGAGGTATCGAGGTCGTTCAATCGCTGCCCTGTCGACTTAATGACGAGTAATTTGTCGCCGGAGGTAACAGAACCGGAAATTCTCCAGGACTCGCAGCAGGTGCCCGACTGCCCCACCTGCTTATTACCTGTTGCGCTCCCGAGTCAGAACGTAGTCTTCCCCTGCTGTTGTGCATCCACCCCCCCCCCCCCGCCTGGAGTTGACGACATTCATGGGGGGGGGGGAGGCGCAGATCAATGGAAGCCAGCGGTTACCTATCACGGCTCTGACCAAGAAATTCATTAGTAAGGATTGGCCCGCATTCTCGGACGTCCGCGGACACGGAGTCCTCCGGTTCGGCTGCGATCGGGATTCCTGCTGGAGGACATACCAAGCTCTACTCGTGGGTTGATCCGTCGCCGGCGTTAGCGCCCACAGATACACACCGGATCGGCTACAGGCTCACAATTCACAATGGGAGCGAGCACAGCCAAACAACAGCCTTTTCGCCGTGACAACAGGACAGCCGGACAGGCCGGCATCGATTAGGGACGGGAATGCTTGTCCGCATGCTCCCTGACACAATCGATGCAATTAAGCAGTCAGAATTACGGTTCTTTGTACACGCTTCCTCAATCAGCCTTGAATAGTCAGCAGACCCGACGGGTGTGCTGTACCATGCGCCGACCGCTCTTCTTCTCGAGACACCATTGAGTTTGAGAGTTTCGAGGTCGTAGACTTGAAACTATTTGTATGCTCCGGAGCAGACCTATAAAAATAAAAGTAGTAAAGGATGAATCACTTTTTATTGAGTCTCCGTTCTTCATGTCGATCGATAGGCCTTCTCTGACGCCACACTTGGATTTTATTCCAATGGAAACGAGTTGTGCGTGGATGCACTTGTAAGATGCGCACTATAGGCTCACAGAGAAAGTTCGCTGCCTAATTTCATCGCAATTTACATACCGCGAAACTCTGGTAGCTCGGGAGCTACAGCAGCATCCGACCCAACTCATATACGGAGCTAATGGCATCTACCATTGCTTCCTCAAGGATTTCGGTGACGACGGAACTCATCCCACGACAAGAAAGTCCCCAGGGCTGCTTGATGATCTCCCAGACAGCCTTGAGACGTCAATGGGTTCGTCAGACGAGGTTCCTCCGCTTTCTCATCAAACAATCGAGACATGGCGAAGAAGGTTCCACGTCTCAGCTGCAACTGTTAGCCCCTTCTTCCTGAAAGCGTTAGAGCAAGCGATATTGATCATTGGGAAGAATTATTCTCAGTCAAAGAACTAGCGTGATATAACTCGTGATATAATCCTAGTGATATAATTCGCCATTAATAATCAAAGTTGAAAGCGTTTCAATTTATAGACATATCGGTTCCTCCATTGAGCGTTCCAATTCTCTAAATCAGCAGGAGTTGAAGTCGGTCATTTCCCCCAGCCAATGATCACTGACTCCGTCGCTCCCATTAAAGATCTAGCCGGTCTGAAGTCTTATCGATCGCCCGGTTCTCAATTTCTCGATCGCCTTCCTTGTGAGGGGTGAGCTCGGGGTGGATACTAACTAAAAAGGATAAAAACTGCAATTCCGCATTCGTGAGATTCGAGCCGCCAGATCTTGAGGAAAAAACAGCGACCGGATAGGGAGGGAGTGCTATTTTGGAACGAGAAAGTGCCGGTGAAAATGCAGACCTTGACTATTTTCATGTCGGCTTCCCCATCAGGACATCACTCCTCGATTCTCGGAAATGGCGTATACGATACTCCGCCGATCGCATGCTGGAGCACCCGAAAGATGTCTTCGACATAGCAGAACTCCCTCAAAAAATTCAAGTTCCTTGGGTCGGAGGCTCCCTCCTGTTACTTCTACCGAGCTCGCGATATTCTCATTCAAGAGCCCCAACATGGCAAACGGGACGCCAGATCATGGACGGCTAATAAGGTTTTAATGCAACGTATCAGAGCCGCATCAAATCTCTTGAACCAGAAAACATCTGCTCAGATCTTCATTCGGTTTGAGCGAACTTCTCCCGCGAGGTCATTCAATAAAAGACGAACGAGGGATTCCGCTCGAGAGAGAATTCATTGTGATCGGTCTGCCGGCACAATTTAGATGGAACTTGATATCGCTCGACTTTGCATAAATTACAAGAAACGTTCGATAGCCTCGGCTCCGCACACTCAGCCCAGAGCCCCATCACAATTGGAAATGCTCTTTTCGGATGCGAAATCCTCTTTTCTTCCCCTAAATCCGAACATTGATCGAAGGCGATCGCATAGTCTTAATTGTTTTTTGAAGCTCCCGAGGCTGAGGGGGTCACTCGCTCCACGTCGGAGCCAGTTAAACGTGACACACTCCCGAAATTTCGGCTGCTCTGTCGATATATGTACCTGCGTGAGAGCGATGCGTTGGTAGTCCCGAGACACACCACATCCGAAACCGTTTGATCGCAACCAGGAACGGGAGCATCAATCGTTCTAGGTCTCGCTCTGCTCGAACGTCAGAGTGATGAAAGGCGGATTGCAAGTAGCAATTCTCACGCGAGTCACCTCGTGACGCATGAGACATTGTTGCGTGACTACTACAAATGATTCCTCAGAAAGTCAGCGACTGGTAAGTGAGTCGCACAGCAAGGTCCGCCTGGGCCGGAGGTCGCGGTCCTCGATTTTAATGTCTTCAACAGCAGAGCTCGGGGTGCTCTAAGGCATTCTAATATGGAAATGCGATGTGTCGGAGAGGCTAGCGAGGCGCCGTAAAAGAAAATCGCTTGTACTCACAACTTAGACGGGAGGAGGACCATGGGAGTAAGCTCCGCTGCCCCATCAAGTCAGGCCCATAAGAAAAACAACAACTCAGTCAGCGTAGATGACGTAGGCTATCAGAACCCGCAGAGTTTTCGAGTTGATCATCGATTTCGATTCTCATTCCGTTTCGACTCGGGGCTTCGCCGCATCGAACGACGCGCTCCAGGCAGCATGCGGATCTTATTCGAATACCTACGAGGGAAAATCCAAGTGGACTCTCGCAGGCTTTTCCGACACGGAAGATCCAATCCTCTCGAGCTCCGACAAGGAACACTTGATGATCAGGGGGAATAATCACCTCTCTTGAATTCCGAAAGCCGCTGAGCCTCTGGTGGTGCGATAGAAGCTCACAGAAAGACTTGCTCTCCGCTCAGAGTCTCCAA